AGGAGGGTTTTGCTCTTGTTTTTTCTTATTCGTAAGAAGTGCACAGCCAATTAATTACGAGTCGCGTTTATTTCACACGTTGGAGGAATCCAGAGCACCCGACGAAAACCCCACGCGCGCGAGGTACGCAACACCCTATCCCCGTACAGATGGAAACAGATGGCGATTAGTCCACTTGCTGCAATGTCTTCACCTGGCGAGCCAGGGTACGGGCACCTCCTCGACACCCACGAGAAGGCGGTTTTACAACAACATCTGCGTGTGATCCACTAACCCTCTCCTCCGGTGCCGGATTACAGACCGCGTTCCAAGCCACCACCGTTCTGAATTACCACTGCCGCCTCTGCACATTCCGCTCCTCAAATGACACGGCCCAGCGGTAGGGCGTTCAGTGCAGATATTCGCGGTTCAAGTCCCCGGCCGCCCTGCTTAATACCGCGGGTGTATTAACCAGCAAATATTCGCCGTCTGCTTCACCAGTTTGGACAATAAAGATCTCGTGTGACGTTATTCGAAAATGAGTAGGCCATGTATGTAGTGGATGTCGCGGTTCAGATTTTTCAAATTATGTATATATTAACAAAAAAATAGATATTACTCTTACATTGCTCGCTTGGAATAAGTACACAGCAACATCCGCCCCTACTGGCAGACCCACTTACAGGCCGGTGCTGTGTTCACCTTGTGGCGCAAAGGGAGAGCTGCCGACAAGGGGGTCCCCTAGGCTAAAACTGTGCTTGGTCATGTTTCGTGACGCTACAGGCGCAATATAAGTGCAAGTTGTATTCGTATCTACTATTACCGTATGATATAATGTACTTAAGAATCTGAGTCTGCGGTGCTGAACTTCAACGCTCGCTGCTTGAGCCAAGCAGGACTTCAAAGGATTTGGAAGTTTGAATGTCAGTTTGTAGTTTTAAGTTCACAGTTTTCCCTGTGTTTTAATTTTTGCCGTAATTAACGCTCGTTTAGGTGAGTGCAGGTTTGAAGGTACGAGGGTTTACTGTGAAGAAAAACAAGTGTAGTTGGGCAAGACACGTCGCCGGTAGCGATGAGAATCAATGGTCGAGACTGCTGCCGGAATGGCAGCCAAAGGATGGAATTCGATCAAAAGGACCACCACCACCACCGAGATGGAGCGATATTAAATGACCCGTTTGCAGGTGCTCGATGGATGTTTGGCGTCGCGTGACCGTGAGAGATGGCGACGGTTTTCGGGAGGCATTCGTCCAATCCACGATATTAAATATTTCGATTGTACTGCGGTCCGCACGAACAAAGAGAGGCTCAATGAACGGGCTGGCTTGCCAGCTTGTATTTGTATTATTATTGTGGTCGTGACTCCATAAAAAACCCGCTGTCTCAACACGTGCGCCCGCTGACAGCCAGACTTAGCCTCATCAACAAAACCCACACCGTGCATCCATCACATGCGGGGTGACACGGGGCAACGGCGACAGGCGGCTGGGTAGGGCCGATGTGAGGGTGAAGACAAGCTGCGGTGCGAGGGGTGGAGACATGGCCGAGTTTGTGAGGATGCAGGAAGCCCGTGTTGTTGGTGAGGGTAGACAGAGGCTGTGGTGGTGAAGGTGGTGAGGGCTGTAGGTGGTGAGGCTGAAGAGAGCGGTGGGTGATGAGGGCAGTCATGGTGAGGGTGGTGGTGGTGAGGTGCTGTTGTGCTGAGAGCATCGGTGGTGAGGTTTTGTGGGTGGAGAGGGCGGTGTTGGTGAAGGTGGTGAGGGTAAATGCGAGTGACACGAGGTGAGGGTGACGGTGGCTTGGGAGGTTCGATGAGAATGTGGTGTGGATGATAGTGGAGATAACGGTAGTGGTTATGGCGATAGTGGTGATGATCTTTGTATGATGACGATGATGATGACAGTCATGCTTGTGATGGGAAGGATGATGACGATGAATATTGTGGTGGTGGTGATGATGGTGATGATGGTGATTATAGTGATTATGATAATGTTGCTAAGAATGATGATGGCGATAGTGGTCGTGCTTATGATGAGTATGATTATGACGGTGATGGTGATGATGCTAATGGTTTTTAACACTTAGCCTTTCGCGACCAATATTCAGGGATGCAGACCTTCCCAAAGGGGCGCAGAACCTCCGACTGGGGTCCGACAACGGTCCCACAGGGCTCCAGACCCTGCAGCAGGGAGTCCAGGCCCTCCCAGAAAGTTCCCACCGCGGTTCAAACCCTTCCAAAGCGACCCCCACATGGATCCCTCCACCAGGGTCCAGACCGTTCTAGGCTCCCGCCCACCCCCGTCAGCCGCGGGTGACCTTAATCCGAGCCCCCGGGGTCCTCACACCCCGCGATGCCCCTATAAGGACCCCCTCGTTCCCTGCTGGGCCCCCTGGAGTGGGGAGAGGGGCTTCAGCGTCATTCTGGCACGCGCGCGCGTGATGGAGCAGCGAGTCAGCACCCTGACACCTCACACCATCACGGCCATCATCACCACCATCAGCATAATCAGGGCTTACAGTGAGGGAAAAAAGTATTTTTTCCCCTGCTGATTTTGTACGTTTGCCCACTGACAAATAAATGATCAGTCTATAATTTTAATAGGTTGATTTGAACAGTGAGAAACAGAATAACAACAACAAAAATCCATAAAAACGCATGTCAAAAATTTTATAAATTGATTTGCATTTTAATGAGGGAAATAAGTATTTAACCCCTCTGCAAAACATTACTTAGTACTTGGTGGCAAAACCCTTGTTGGCAATCACAGAGGTCAGACGTTACTTGTAGTTGGCCACCAAGTTTGCACACATCTCAGGAGGGATTTTGTCCCACTCCTCTTTGCAGATCTTCTCCAAGTCATTAAGGTTTCGAGGCTGACGTTTGGCAACTCGAACCTTCAGCTCCCTCCACAGATTTTCTATGGGATTAAGGTCTAGAGACTGGCTAGGCCACTCCAGGACCTTAATGTGCTTCTTCTTGAGCCACTCCTTTGTTGCCTTGGCCGTGTGTTTTGGGTCATTGTCATGCTGGAATACCCATCCACGACCCATTTTCAATGCCCTGGCTGAGGGAAGGAGGTTCTCACCCAATATTTCACGGTACATGGCCCCGTCCATCGTCCCTTTGATGCGGTGAAGTTGTCCTGTCCCCTTAGCAGAAAAACACCCCCAAAGCATAATGTTTCCACCTCCATGTTTGACGGTGGGGATGGTGTTCTTGGAGTCATAGGCAGCATTCCTCCTCCTCCAAACACGGCGAGTTGAGTTGATGCCAAAGAGCTTCGTTTTGGTCTCATCTGACCACAACACTTTCACCCAGTTGTCCTCTGAATCATTCAGATGTTCATTGGCAAACTTCAGACGGGCATGTATATGTGCTTTCTTGAGCAGAGGGACCTTGCGGGCGCTGCAGCATTTCAGTCCTTCACGGCGTAGTGTGTTACCAATTGTTTTCTTGGTGACTATGGTCCCAACTGCCTTGAGATCATTGACAAGATCCTCCCGTGTAGTTCTGGGCTGATTCCTCACCGTTCTCATGATCATTGCAACTCCACGAGGTGAGATCTTGCATGGAGCCCCAGGCCGAGGGAGATTGACAGTTCTTTTGTGTTTCTTCCATTTGCGAATAATCGCACCAACTGTTGTCACCTTCTCACCAAGCTTCTTGGCAATGGTCTTGTAGCCCATTCCAGCCTTGTGTAGGTCTACAATCTTGTCCCTGACATCTTTGGTCTTGGCCATGGTGGAGAGTTTGGAATCTGATTGATTGCTTCTGTGGACAGGTGTCTTTTATACAGGTAACAAGCTGAGATTAGGAGCACTCCCTTTAAGAGTGTGCTCCTAATCTCAGCTCGTTACCTGTATAAAAGACACCTGGGAGCCATAAATCTTTCTGATTGAGAGGGGGTCAAATACTTATTTCCCTCATTAAAATGCAAATCAATTTATAACATTTTTGACATGCGTTTTTCTGGATTTTGTTGTTGTTTCGATTCGTCTTTGTTGTTGTTATTCTGTCTCTGACTGTTCGTTCAAATAAACCTACCATTAAAATTATAGACTGATAATTTCTTTGTCAGTGAGCAAACGTACAAAATCAGCAGGGGTTCAAATACCTTTTTCCCTCACTGGATAGGTTAGATCGCGTAAGTATAAATGTGTCGTAACCTTCCACCACCCGACACAGCCAGTAAGGTTTGTCACGTAAACAAGACGCGCCCAAATGAATTAGTGACTACTTCAGCTCACCGGTGTGCTGGAGAGCAAATCCACAACATTTATAATTTGAGTACACGGCGTTTCGCCGGTAATCACATCCAGAATCATCGGGCGCGTTTTGTTTACGTGACAAACCTTGCTGGCTGTGTCGGGTGGTGAAGGGCTACGACACACACTTGACGCGATTTAACCCAAACACCTTTATTCGTTGGACCCCAGTGGGACCCATGTGGGAGGTCCCCGTTGGGGGGATTTGGACCCCGTGGGAGAGTCTAAACCCCGTGGGAGGACCCCGGTGGGCGGGTCTGGACCCCTTTGGGACCCCGGTTGGAGGGTCTGGACCCCTGTGGGAGGGCCCCTGTGGGAGGGTCTGGACCGCTGTGGAAGGACCCCTGTGGGAGGGGCCCTGTGGGATGACCCCTGTGGGAGGGTCTGGACCCCTGTGGGAGGACCCCTGTGGGAGGGTCTGGACCCCTGTGGGAGGACCCCGGTGGGAGGGTCTGGACCCCTTTGGGACCCCGGTTGGAGGGTCTGGACCCCTGTGGGAGGGCCCCTGTGGGAGGACCCCTGTGGGAGGACCCCGGTGGGAGGGTCTGGACCCCTGTGGGAGGACCCCGGTAGGCGGGCCCTGGTAGAGCCGGCCCCTCGCCCTCTGACCCCTTCACGTGTGTGAGGCCTAGGTTAGACCCCGGCTCCGGGTCGGTCACTCGCAAGATGAAGACAAGGTTCAGCACCGTGGATGTGCGGGCCGTGGTGAGCGAGCTGCGGCGCAGGTGAGGGGTTCCCGAGAGGGGTCCGAGAGGGGTCCGCGTGCGAGGGCATCCCCTGTGAGGGATATCTGGGACTGAGAACCGCTCCGCCCTGCGTTGCCTAGATTCCCCGCCGTCCCGGCGCGGCCTCTGTCGGCCGAGAGCCTAGGCCGATGCTCTGGGCACTGTGGCGCGGTCTCGGTGTCCCTCCGCGTCTCCGTGTCGCTATGTATGTGTCAATGTCTCTGTCACGGTGTGTCTGTTTCTGTTTTAAATGTCTGAGTGTCTCATAGTATGCGTATGTGTGTCTCCGTCTCATTTTGTCGGTCTCTGTGTCTCGGTGTCTGAGTGAGTGTTTCGGTGTCAAAGTGTCTCCATGTCTCTGTGTCCTAATTGTCTCTGCCTTTCATTGTCTTTGTGTCTCTACGTCTCAGTGTCTCTGTGTCTTCCTCTATAATATTTCTCTGTGTCTAAGTGTCCTCTTGCTGTGTCTTGTGTCTTGCAGCCTGCTGGGGATGCGCGTGAACAACGTCTACGATGTGGACACTCGGACGTACTTGGTCCGACTGCAACGGTGCGCGATCCGGGGTCCTGTGGGTGTGTGGTGTTGTAGTGTCGTGGCTGTGTGTTGTTGTGGCCGAGTAGTGTTGTGATTATGTGGTTATTGTGGCTGTGTAGTGTTGTGGCTGTGTAGTGTTGTGCCTGTGTAGTGTTGTGATTCTGTGGTGTTGCCGCTGTGTGGTGTTGTGGCTGGGTAGTGATTATTGTGGCTGTGTGGTGTTGTAGCTGGGTAGTGTTGTGATTGTGGTTATTGTGGCTGTGTGTTGTTGTGGCTGGGTAGTGTTGTGATTGTGGTTATTGTGGCTGTGTGTTGTTGTGGCTGGGTAGTGTTGTGATTGTGGTTATTGTGGCTGTGTGGTGTTGTGGCTGGGTAGTGTTGTGATTATGTGGTTATTGTGGCTGTGTGGTGTTGTGGCTGTGTAGTGTTGTGATTATGTGGTTATTGTGACTGTGTAGTGTTGTGCCTGAGTAGTGTTGTGATTATTGTGGTTATTGTGGCTGTGTGGTGTTGTGGCTGGGTAGTGTTGTGATTATGTGGTTATTGTGGCTGTGTGGTGTTGTGGTTGGGTAGTGTTGTGATTATGTGGTTATTGTGGCTGTGTAGTGTTGTGATTCTGTGGTGTTGCGGCTGTGTGGTGTTGTGACTGGGTAGTGTTGTGATTATGTGGTTATTGTGGCTGTGTAGTGTTGTGATTGTGGTATTGTGGCTGTGTGGTGTTGTGGCTGTGTAGTGTTGCGGCTGGGTAGTATTGTGATTCTGTGGTTTTGCCGCTGTGTGGTGTTGTGGCTGGGTAGTGATTATTGTGGCTGTGTGGTGTTGTAGCTGAGTAGTATTGTGATTCTGTGGTATTGTGATTCTGTGGTATTGTGGCTGTGTGGTGTTGTGGCCGAGTAGTGTTGTGATTGTGGTTATTGTGGCTGTGTGGTGTTGTGGCTGTGTAGTGTTGTGATTATGTGGTTATTGTGGCTGTGTGGTGTTGTGGCTGAGTAGTATTGTGATTATGTGGTTATTGTGGTTGTGTGGTGTTGTGGCTGGGTAGCGTTGTGATTATGTATCATTGTGGCTGCGTGGTGTTGTGGCTGGGTAGTTTTGTGATTATGTAGTTATTGGCGTTGTGCGGTGCTGTGGCTAGGGCGGTGCTGTGGCTGGGCGGTGTAGTGGCTGTGAGGTGTTGTGGCTGGGTATTGCTGTGTCTGTGTACTATTGTGGCTGCGTACTATTGTGGCTGCGTGTTGTTGTGGCTGGGTATTGCTGTGACTGTGTAGTGTCTTTGACTCGGTGGTGTTGTGGCTGAGTAGTAGCGTCGTGACTTTCTGATGGTGTGACCCTGCGGTGTTGTGGCCACGTGTGTACAGGCCTGACGCCAAGGCTGTGCTTCTCATCGAGTCTGGCACGCGGCTTCACACCACCGAGTTTGAGTGGCCCAAGAACAACATGCCCTCCGGCTTCTCCATGAAGGTGCCCATGGGGGCCCCACTGCCCCGTCTCCCTCCTCTCCTCCTGTGTGCGGTGTTTATGTGTGGTGCGTGGTAGTCTTTCGCGGTGTGGTGTTTGATGTGCCGTGCGTGGGGTGCTTTCTACTGCATGTGGTGTGTTGCGTGTGTATGGTGCGGTATTTGTTGCGCGTAGCATGTGTTTTTTAAACGTCCAGTGTGGCGTGATGTGTGCTACGCTCAGTGCCGTAAGCATCTCAAGTCGCGGCGCCTCGTGAGCGTAGAGCAGCTGGGCACGGACCGCGTCGTCGACCTCCAGTTCGGCTCCAACGAGGCGGCGTACCACCTCATCGTGGAGCTCTACGACCGGGTGAGGGGCCAGCACCCACCCACCCATTCGCCCACCTCCTTTGTGTGTCTCTGTGTCCCTCCGTGTGCCTCTACATATGTCTGTGTGTCACCGTGTACATTCGCGTGAAACTATTTTTGTCACTGTGTGTCATTGCGTAACTCTGTGTGTCACTGTGTCTCAATGTGTATTTGTGTAGCGCTGTGTGCCGTCGTGTATTACCATGTGTCACTGTATATGTCCTTGTGCTAATGTACCTTTACGTGTCACAGTTTCACGGTGTGTCATGTGTCACTGTGTCACTATGTGTCACTATCACCACGTGTCACTATGTGCTTTTGTGTGTCACTGTCACTTTGTGTCTTTGTGTGCCCTCCATGTGCTCTCCGAGTGTGCTTCTTAAGCCTGTTGTCACTGCCGGAATCTATAATGTCCAGATGTTCTATTGCTAATGGTATTGCTGCTGCTGATGCTCGTCTTTTTGTGTTGTTGCTGCTGTTGTTGCTGCTGTTGTGGCTGCCAGGGCAATGTTGTGCTGACGGACCACGAGTTCACCATCCTGAACCTGCTGCGGTTCCGCACGGACGAGTCGATGGACGTGAAGCTGGCCGTGCGCGAGCGCTACCCTCGCGACGCCGCCGCACTCGCGGTGCAAGCGCCGCTCTCCATGGAGCGGTGAGTCCCAGCGTGCGTGGGGTGTGTGGGCACCATGTGCACATGTGCGTGCCCACCCGTGTGTATACGCGCGCCGGTGGTCACGTGCGCAATGTTATAATAATTAGTTTTTGATGGAGTGCCCGTTAGGCTGTGGTTATTGTTGTTGTGTTTGTGTTGTTGTCATGATGGTTGTTTTATTTTCAGGCTGACGGAGATCCTCGAAGCGGCATCGAAGGGCGACCTACTGAAGCGGGTGTTGAACCCCCACATGAGTAAGTCTGCGGCCACCGGACATGCTCGTGCGTGTGATGCTGGGTTTTGAGGATGTATCTGAAAGCAGCAGGGTGCCTCGCCCACAGTTTATCAGGTTGCAACACACACACAACCAAACACATGTACAGCCCGTGACAGCACCTGTGCACCTCCATTATTTCATCTGCAATGCCTAATGTGCATTACCAATCTGAGTGCACATGTTTATAGAACATGTGTGTGTTTATGTGTTTGTGGCAAATATCTGTACTAGTCCTGGGCCTTCTCTAGGTCGACTCGGCCTTGAATGAGTGCCCGGTGTGGTGTGTGAATATCAGCACCGGGGAGACAAATTCAGCCGGGCATGTGCCGTGTTGGCCGATTAAGGCTAGAGGGGGGATCTTTGTCTTTATATTTGTACGCGTGTGTGCGTGTGCTGTTGATAGCGCCTGGTCCTGCGGTCATTGAGCACTGCCTCCTGCAGGCCGGCCTCCCCGAGGGGGCCAAGCTGGGCCAAGGGTTCGATCTCACGCGAGGTGAGGTCCCCTCTCCCTCCTCACATCCCCTCCTCTCCCATCCATCACATCTCTCACATCTTCTCCCCATCTCACATCCCCCCTCCTCCCATCCCGCACATCTCCCCCTCTCCCATCTCCCACATCCCCTTTCTACTCTGTGCGTGCATCTTATGCGAGCTCATGCATGTGTGTTTATGTGTTCGTGTCTGTGTGCCTGTGCGTGACTACACACACACAGATCTGCCCAAGGTCCTGCAGGCAGTCGCCCTGTCGGAGGAGTTCATGGAGAGAGCCAGCGACTTTCAGGGAAAGGTGCGGAGCGTGCTTGAAGGGGCGACTCCACACAGCTCGTCCCTACGTAGTCGTTCGGGCGGTGACCTCGCTCGTGACGCTCATCCCCTGCTGTGCAGGACGCCACTTGCTGACGCCCATGAGTGGCGCTTGCTGATCAAACATTTGGGGGGGGGTGGGGGGGGGAAATTATTTCGAAGTGTTTCCACCATCACGTGTGGCAATATCGTGTGGTGGAGTTAAGCGACCTGAACGTTTGGGGTTAGAGTTAGAATTCATTAGCGTTCTTTGCGTTTCTGCACCATTCCTGTCGTTAGTGCCCTGAGCGCCGCTCTCGTCATCAGCAACGTTACCGACGTTCAATTCATTAGCGTCGATCGTCCCGTTCGAGTCAATAGCATTGTCTTTCGAGTCTATCATTGTTATCGTCATTAGCATCGTTAGCTGCGTTAGCGTCATTAGCACCGTTCTCGTCGCTAGCGATTTTATCGCCGCTTTCCATCTCCTCCCAGGGCTACATCATCCAGAAGCGAGAGAAGAAACCGAGCGTCGACGCAACGCAGCAGCCCGAGGAGCTGCTCACGTGCGTAAGAGCGGGCGGTGGAGCGTGGGGCAGAGTGGTGGAGAGCACGGGAGAATATGGGAGAGTGCGGGGGAGTGTGTGCGGAGGGATATCCAAGAGCGTTGTAGGGTGTGGGATAGTGGGTGGGAGACTGGGAGAGTGAGTGGTTGATAGTGGTGGAGAATGAGTCAGAGACCGGGGAAGTGAGTGGGAGAGTGGTGGAGACTTAGTGGGGGAGCGTGAAAAAGTGAGAGAGTGGAAGGGAAGTTGGAGAATGTGAGAGTGAGAGCTTTCCTTGGCTTCCCTTTGTCTGTGTATATTGAAATGGGGATATGTGTGTGGGTGCGCACTTTTCCCTGTGTGCATGTGTGCATGCACATGTGTCTGTGCACATGTATGCTGGGTTTCCCATTGGTCGACTCAACTTTAAACTGGTACATGATGTGGTGTGTTAATATCGGTTCTGGGGAGACAGAAGTGGCTGGGCGTGCTGTTGGCCATAGGTGCTCGCTAACAGTACTTCCAACAGTCCGTTGAGGCCACAACGTAGAATCTCTGTGCATGTGTGTGACACATGCACATGTGTATTGTGTGTGTGCTCGTGTTTACAGGTATGAGGAGTTCCACCCATTCCTGTTTGCGCAGCACTCACGTGGGCCCTACCTGGAGATGGACAGCTTTGATAAGGTGCGCACACAGACCACGGCCCCACCACGGCCCCACTATGGCCCCACCATGACCCCACCATGACCCCACCACGGCCCCAACACAACCCCAACACAACCCCGTCTCTCTATTGACTTTAAAAAGTATCTCCATCAGGGCCTCTACAAGCCCCTCAATTCCAAAACCAGATGATCGAAGATACGGCTGCCAGATTCCCTCATCAGTATCCGTCCACGAGACCATGGCGCACCCACACTCCAATCCCCCTCCTCTGGCTCCCAATCAAATTATGTTATCTGCTAAGATCCTTCATGGACTCAGCTCTGTCTACCACTCTTATCTCACTCTACTGCTTTCCATGCACTCTCCTACCTCTCTGCTCTCATTGCACTCTATAACCCCTCCACGCTCTATCCTTCATTTCCCCATTCATCTCACTCTACTCTCCTCCATGTCCCCTCTACGCCTTGCATCCGAAGCTCCAGTAAAATGTCTTAAACAGGACGTCACTCGTTTATCCGTTGCTGCCTTCGATGTGTGAGAATCCCTGCCTTTGCACGGTCGATTCACCTCCCCATTCAGGTCAAGACTCAAGATCTCCTCCCTCTTCTCTCCCGATGACCGTTTCTCTCTGTCCCATTATCTGATGTAAAAACATACAGAAGCCCTCTCCCTCCCCATGCCTTCCTCTCCCATAACCGCCACTTCACCAGGGCGGCACAGCGGTTACACTTGTGCCTCACAGAAAGAAGGACCTGGGTTCGATTCTCTACTCAGATGCCTTTATCAATGGAGTTTGTATGTTATTGATCAAACCTTCCAATGCAGGACCCTCATGAAAAATTGATTTTGGACTCAGTATGGCTTTCCTGGGAAAATACGTAACGATTATTTTACCTTCATTGCGGTTACCTTTATACTCTATACATTCCCATTATGTTTATTGTGTGTGACTCTTTAACGAGGTGTCTGAAAACGAGATCCCGTCGTCGTGAATGTTGTGTGTGTATGTGTTTCAGGCCGTGGATGAGTATTTCTCCAAGATGGAAGGACAGAAGATCGACATAAAGGCACTGCATCAGGTCTGGGCGTGCATGCGTGCATGCGTACGCGTGTGTGTGTGTTTAGTGTATACTCTGTGTGTTCTGTGTATATAGATGTCTGTGTGTGTAGAGCATGTGTATGTGTTGAGATGGGCATGTGTGGATTGTGTGTGCATGTGGAGTGTCTGTGTGTGTTAAGATAAGTGTGCGTGTGGAGAGTACGGCACTGTTGGCACAGTCGAGGGCACAGCTGGTGCATCTCTGCCATTCATCTGAGTCAACCCATGGCACCTGGGTCTGTCCCGATCCCTGTCAGCGAGCCTTCGACACTTCACTTGGCCTCAAAGTGCACCTAGCCTGGCACAAGCGCTGTGGTAACGTCACCGTCACTTAGTGGTGTAGTTATATTGGCGGGTATTGGAGTGTGTGTGTGTAGTGTGTGTGTGTATAGAGCGTGTGTGTGTGTAGCGTGTGTGTGTGTGTGTAGAGTGTTTTTGTGTTGTGCGCACGTTTGTGAAGCATATGTGTGTGAAGCGTGTGTGTGGAGTGTGTGTATAGCATGTGTGTGTGTGTGTATAGAGTGTATGTGTGTAGCGTGTGTGTGTGTAGAGTGTATGTTGTGCGTGCGTATGTGAAGCATGTGTGTGTGTGTAGAGCGTGTGTGTAGAGTGTTAGTGTGTGTGTAGCGTGTGTGTGTGTAGCATGCGTGTGTGTGTGTAGCGTGTGTGTGTGTGTAGCGTGTGTGTGTGTAGCGTGTGTGCAAGCTGTCCCGTGTGTCTCACAGGAGAAGCAGGCACTCAAGAAGCTGGATAACGTGCGCAAGGACCACACGAGGCGGCTGGACGCCCTGCAGCAGGCGCAGGTGAGCTCACGCCGGGGCACTAACACCGCCATAGGGGGGCGCGGGGGGGCGCAGATAGGCCTCTCGTGCCCCGCCTATAGCCATTCGGCTACAGCGTCTGCATCGCCCACAGTCTTTACGTGACGTCACGGAGTAGGGTGGCCACCCACCGCCCCCCCACCGCGTGCGAAACGCCAGCACCAATGCGTACCTCCACATACCCGTGCCTCTACGTACCCGTGCGTACGTGCGTGCGAGTGCAGGAGGAGGACCGGCGCAAGGCGGAGCTGATCGAGGTGAACCTGCTGGTGGTGGAGCGCGCCATCACGGTGGTGCGCAGTGCCCTGGCCAACCAGCTGGACTGGGCCGAGATCGGCGCGCTGGTGCGCGAGGCCAGCGAGCAGGGCGACCCTGTGGCCTGCGCCATCAAGGCCCTGAAGCTCAACACCAACCACATCACCATGGCGCTCAGGTGGGGCGGCACGCGGCAAATTCACGATGAAGGTTTTTGGGTTAGATTGAGTAAGTATGAATGTGTCGTAACCCTCCACCGCCCGGCACAGCCAATTGGTAAGGGATTTGTTACGTAAACAAAACGCGCCAATTAGTTACTACTTCAGCCCACCGGTGTGTTAGAGAGTAAATCCAGAACAGTTCTGGCAAATCGCCGAAAGATGCTGGATGTAATTACCAGCGAAACGTCGCACTTAAATTGTAAATGTTGTGGATTTACTCTCCAACACACTGGTGGGCTGAAGTAGTAACTAATTGGCGCGTTTTGTTTACGTGACAAATCCCTTAATGATTGGCTGTGTCGGGTGGTGGAGGGTCGACACAGTCATACTTACGCAATGTAACCCAAAAGCCTTGATTATGAATAATATTGGTCACGAAAGCCTACGTGTTAAACAGAACACAAACACTGCGTGTAGCAGACCTGGGGGCAATTGCAATTAACTGTGTGATTTATAACTCATTAATTACAATCACAATATTATCTTAATTTCGGCCAACAATGCTTCTGTAATTATGATTATAATTGCCCCCAGGTCTGGTGCGCACATGGATACAGTGGTGGTGATGGTGTTATTGGTGTATATAATGGTGCTATCATCGGTGCATGTGTAGTGTTGTGGATTCGGGAAACGTCGGAGTCGGTTCTTGGAGGCAACACGATTTATTAAACCACCTCGCTCGGCAATACAGTCCCAGTACACTCAGGGTTACTGTCCTCCTACAGCTACTGTCTGGGGAGGTACTGCCTCTGGGCTAACGTGCCCTAACACAGGGCTACACTCAGGGTCCTCTGGCTATGGGTGCCTAGGGGGAGGATATTCTAACTCGCCCTAGCCAGGGTGCGAGTTCCGACCACTGACCCACTGGGCCCTTACAAGGACGTCGGGGCCAGGGGGTTCCCAGGGTCTCACCGCTGAGCCGCACAGAGTCCCGGCCCTGATAAGGACAGCAGGGCGAGGGGTCTCAGGGTCCTAGCTGGCCTTCGGCTTTGGTCTTCAACTGGTCCAGATCGGCTGGGGAGGTCCCCTTTTATGCCCCTTGCCCATCGAGGAGTGGGGCTGTGTGGGATCCCAGAACCCCCGCAGCCCCCCCCCCCCCCCCCGTTGGAGGCGCCGAGGGGCTTAGCTGTCTGGGGATCCTGAGCCCAGCAGTCCCTCCCCTCTTGGGCTAGTACTGCAGCCCCTCCCCTGACGGTACGAGGTACCGTTCCATCTATGGCGCTACACATGTGGTAGTGTTAACGGTGAATGGGATGGTGGTGTTATTGGTACATGTGGTGGTAACGGTGGTGTTATTGGTGCATGTGGCATTGGCGGTGATACAGTAACCCGTACACTGGGGCTGGTGGTGAGGACGGCTCAGACGGTGAGGCCGGCGATGGTGAGGCCGTAAAAGCGACAAAGCAGCAGCACAAGCGGCAGAAGCCTCAACAGGGACGCCCGGCGCTCATAGACATCGACCTGAGTCTGTCCGCCTACGCAAACTCCAAGAGGTGCTCTCCCATTTCCCCTCTCTGCTCCCCTTCCCAACTCCCCCTCTCTGCTCCCCCTCTCTGCTCCCATTCACAGCTCCCTCTCCCTGCTCCCCCTCTTAATCACCTTGCCCTGCTCCTCCTCCTCTCACTCCCTCTCTCTCTGTGTGTTCGTGTAGTGTTAATTGTGTGTGTGACATGGTGCTGTGTGTGTGTGTGTGTGGTGCTAATTGTGCACGTGTGGTGCTAATTGTGCATGTATAGGGGTGTTGTGGGAAGGTGACACACAGCCACACCTTGGTGGCTACAACCACATCCGCTATAGCCCCGCCCTCAGTGGTGTATGGGTATAAAGGGCGGGGAGCCAGAGAGCTCGGGGCAGTGTGTTGGGGCCAAGAATGAAGAACCAGTGAAGAAGGAAGGCCGGCTAGATAGACCCTGGGACTTCCCTGACCGCTGTCCTTTTAAGGGCCGGCAGGGTAAGCCGGTGGTGCGGCCCCAGAGCCTCAGAGCCGGAGCCCTTTTAAGGGTCGGTCTGGTTGGTGGGGTGCTGTGATCTGTGCTTGACCAGGGCCAGATCAGATAGCCTCCTCTAGCGCCTGTAGCTGGAGGAACTGGGAGCACAGGAATTAGGCTAGATAGCCTAGGGGGTGTCCCAGCGTGTATACGGGTGAAGGGGCCGTTACCCCTTCCAGTGTAACCCTTGTTAAGTTAAATAAACAGTACTGCCTCTACTCCACCGTCTCCGTGTCCCGTGAACCCACTACACATGTGGTGCTAAGTGTATGGCATGGTGCTGTGTGTGTGGCGTGGTGCTGTGTGTGTGTGGTGCTAATTGTGCGTGTGGTGCTGCGTATGTGGCATGGTGCTGTGTGTGTGTGTGGTGCTAATTGTGCGCGTGTGGTGCTAATTGTGCTTGTGGTGCTAAGTGTATGGCATGGTGCTGTGTGTGGCGCTAATTGTGCGTGTGACGCTACGCGTGTGTTTGGTGCTGCGTGTGTGTGCGGTGCCGTGTGTAGGTATTACGATCACAAGAGACACGCCGCCAAGAAGGAGCAGAAAACCATTGAGGCATCAGAAAAGGTAGAAATGTGCGTGTCAGGTGCGTGTGTCACATGCCAGATGTGTGTGCCACATGTTCATGTGCTGAGCGTATCAGCAGCTGCCTTGTTGCCAGGTGTGATACTGACGAGGTGTGACACCGACTAGGTGTGACACCGACGAAGTGGCGTGTTATAAAGACATGAGACTGACGAGGTGGCTTGTTGACGAGGTGTGCCACAGGCATTCAAGTCTGCCGAGAAGAAGACGCGACAGACTCTCAAGGAGGTGCAAGTCGTGAGCTCCATCCAGAAGGCGCGCAAGGTCTACTGGTATGACCCCTCAACCCTGACCCCTTCAACCCTGACCCCTTCAACCCTGAACCCAACACACCACTTGACCCGCAATCTCAAAGCCAAGCGGAAGTTAACCGCTCTCCTCAATGCCAGAGTGTTCCTGACCTCCGTATCGATGAAGCGACGACTCCACTGCATGACGCTGGGCTTTGCTGTGACCCCCTCGGCGCGGCAGTGATGGGTGGCGCCGTGCCGCGTGCGTGCGAGCAGGTTCGAGAAGTTCCTCTGGTTCATCAGCTCGGAGAACTTCCTGGTGATCGCCGGCCGCGACCAGCAGCAGAACGAGATGATCGTCAAGCGCTACCTGCGAGCAGGTGAGCTCACCTGTGTGTGTGAGAGGGCGTGAGTGTGTCTTGGGGTAGTGTGGGCAGCGGCGGCACAGTGGTTAACCCATTGCACTCTAAACCCATGCGAACCAAGTTCGATTACAGCTCACGACCAATTACAGTGGTGAATATTTGAACTGGTTCTGGCCTTCCCTAAAGTCGACTCGGCCGAGAGTGGTGCTAGCCACACCATCCCCTCGTGTGCCTTGCCGGCCTTCATAGGTGCTCGCTAACAGCACTCGCCCCAACAGCCTGTGTAGGCTGTGGGGGATCTTAGTCTTTGCCGTACGTCTGTGTGTGTACTGGTGTATGTATGTGTGCACTGTCATTGACATAGTGATATGTGTGTATTTACGTGTGTATGTTTATTTATTTGCGTGTATATTTGTATTGTGTAAATTGGTAAGTGTGTGTGTATTCTATGCGTGTGTATACTAGTGTCTTGTGTATATTGTGTACGTGTGTGTTTGCTGCCGTTGACAGGAGATCTTTACGTTCACGCTGATCTGCACGGAGCCACGAGCTGCGTCATCAAAAACCCCACAGGTGCGACTGCCACTCTGAACCACTCACAGGGATCCCTGCACCTAGCCTGGCGCGGGTTACGTCCCACTGGAAACACAAAACACGTTCCAACCACCAAACTAGAGGTTGTACCCTTTCTGGCAATGAAACAGGAGGTGTTAAGATGTTTAAACACCAAACTGAAACCCTTTGCAAGGAATCAAGTCTGCATTAACCACATGTACCTGTGGTGAACATGCAAACAAAAACATGCTCTGATACTGTATGCATACAATTAGTGACTGCAGGAATTCATATTCTATGCTTCTTTCGGTAAAGTCACGTAGATAGAAAAATAATAATAACATAATAAAAATGAAAAGAAACTGAATAAAAAATAACAACAATATCACGACGTTTTGAACGCAACACAAGCAATCGTCATCAGGATGATATTTTAATTATTTCTTATTCTTTTTATTTTTTATTTAAAGCTTTCGTGACTGCAGTGATTCATATTCTTGGTTCTTTCGGTAAAGTTACGTTGAAGGGAAACAATTAAATAATAAAAATATATTATTATGACTGCTTTTTCTGTCTACGTGAATTTACCGAAAGAACCATTGAATCCTATATGTATTCTTTGAAAATGATTGGTCCACACCTGAGACAACTTCTTTAGAGCCTAGTCTCAATAACAGTGTTAGACCAGAGGATGCCAAAAGGCGAACAGCACAAAGACAACGCCACTATCAGGACATTGAGAGCTCGGGGTGAGCAGCTACATCATGGGACCTCCCTTGCCAGTATCAAAATATAAGAATATGTTTCACCCTTTCTGGCAATAAAAGAGTTGTGTTAAGATGTTAAAATACCAAACAGAAACCTTTTTCAAGGACTCAGGTCTGCATTAACTCTGTTCACCATGATGAGGACCCCTTCATAATCACGCTGCACCTATTATGATGACGCCCCCCCCCCCCGTGATGACCCCCACCAGGAGAGGCGGTGCCCCCCCGCACGCTCACGGAGGCTGGCACGATGGCCGTGTGCTACAGCGCCGCGTGGGATGCCCGCGTGGTCACCAGCGCCTGGTGGGTGCATCACCACCAGGTCACCAAGACAGCGCCCTCCGGGGAGTACCTCACCACGGGCAGCTTCATGGTCCGCGGTGAGTGCCACGCAGCGGGCGGCGTGATGCAGGTGTGTGTGGGGGGGCGCGCAGGTTTAGGGGGGCACGCAGGTGTGGTGTGATTGGGGCACGCAGGTGTGGTGTGATTGGGGCACGCAGGTGTGGTGTGATTGGGTCACGCAGGTGTGGTGTGATTGGGGCACGCAGGTGTGGTGTGATTGGGGCACGCAGGTGTGGTGTGATTGGGGCACGCAGGTGTGGTGTGATTGGGGCACGCAGGTGTGGTGTGATTGGGGCACGCAGGTGTGGTGTGATTGGGGCACGCAGGTGTGGTGTGATTGGGGCACGCAGGTGTGGTGTGATTGGGGCACGCAGGTGTGATAGTGGCTGTGCTTGGCTGGGCCCTTCACCACCAGATGTCTCCGTTGCCCACCCAAGTTGATGCTCTTTAGCGGTATGTCGCTGTTACGGTGCCCCCCCCCCGCACTCAACAGCTCAAATGGGCCCCCCACAATCCAAGAGCAGCTAGAGCCAGGATTGGCAGTAATATACAGGTACGGTGAAACACCGGTGTTATACCATACAGGTGTTAGAGCTGAACATGTGTAGTGCCGTACAGGTGTGGTGACACGCGGGTGTCACTCTTGCAACCTCAGGTCACTCTTGCCAAATGAGACTCCTGTCCTGCTCTCTCGAGTTGTCACCTGGTTACACGAAATAAACCTGAAGAAAATACTTTGTTCTGGAGAATTGCCATGACAATGCAGGTGTGGTACCGTACTGGTGTGACGTTGTATGAATATGGCGACACGCGGGTGTGGCGATGTACAGGTTTGGTGCCATGTGTTTATTGCGTGCAGTACACTACGGCTGCGTTATCTGGTGAGAGTGTTGCTCTGAAAGCACCTGGTCATGGGTATTAACGCGTGCGAGCGTGCTGGCGTGTCTGTGTGTGTGTGCGTGCGTACATGTGCTCGCGTGCATGTGCGTGCGTGCGTGCGGGCGTGCGGGCATGCGTGTGTGCGTGTCTTTGCTGGCGCAGGTAAGAAGAACTACCTGCCTCCTTCTTACCTCATGATGGGGTTTGGATTCCTGTTCAAGGTGTGTGTCTTGAGTCCGTCGCCACGTTTACTTGGGCGGCAGGGTGGGGGCGCAGTGGTAACACTCTTGCCTCACAGCAAGAACGGCCTGGGTTCGATTCCCGACTTGGGTGCCTTCCTGTGTGGAGTTTGTATGTTATCCCTCCCCCTGTTTTGCATGAGTTTCCTCTGGGTTCCCCAGTATCTTCCCATTGCAACAACAACAAAACCATTTAAAACATCCCAGTGCTGAAAAATTACCTGCAAATTACTGATGAGGGATCACACACAGTAACGTCACCCTCCTACTGCAAAAAAACTTAGCAGGGCCCGCCTGAAAAAGAATCTTGAGACTCAGTGAGGCTCTCCTGGGTAAACAAGCGTAGTAATAAAAATAATAATAACAAATTGCACCCACAAGTTGTTCTTAGCCCAATCGTGGTGACTCGGGCTGCTGGTGTCTGTGTGCCTCGCCTAGGTCGACTCAACCTTAAATACTTGTGTGTGTGTGTATATTTACTTTCCCGCGTGTGTGTGTGTGTGTTCGCTCGTGTTGATCAGGTGGACGAGTCTTGTGTCGCTCGTCACAAGGGGGAGCGAAAGGTCAGAGTTCAGGACGAGGACCTGGAGTCGGAGGCGAGGGAAGCGGGGCGACTCATGGAGGAGGTGTCCGTCGACCTGGGTAGGTCACAGAGTGCGACCCCTGTTTGACCCCACAGGCTGGTGGAGTGGTGGTGCCCAGCTGGGTCAGGAGGTCAGAGCGCTGGGCTGGCAACGCTGAGAATCCTGGGTTTGATTACCGGTATCGTTTCAAGTGAGCTGCTGATCTCAGGCTGGTTGCCAAGGACTGTAAAAAAAAAAAATCGCTTACAATTTGGATGTGCGCTTAATTCGCCTAAATTCCAGCTCTGCCAGTACATATGAGTACGACTGGTGGAGTATGAACCATGAAAATGTGCTGCCTACATCTCGTCATTCATCCCAAAAAGACCAATGCTTACCAGCATCATGGTCCAAATATTGGCCGAATTAATTTTACATAGTTGGTGGGGATAACACATAGCAATCATTACCCTTGACTGGCAGACTTATGTCCGCTTGCAGGCCAGGTGCTGAGTCACCTTGTGCCACATAGAAACAGCTGCCACTGGGGGTGCCCTTCATCGGGGTCGAGTAAATTAACGTTGACATTGTTGAGGACGACCGCAGCCCATGGCACCCGGCTCTAGTTGCCGCGGTAACGCACGTGCGAGCATTTGTCAGCCTGAGGCCTACGACCCGCTCTCCCACAGAGGAGGTACCCTCTGATGGGGAGGTGGAGGAGGCGGCGGGGGACAGGGAGGGAGGAGGCCTCCCTGCCACCCAATCAGAAGACGCCGTCTCGGCCGCCCCCTCCGCTCAGGGTGGCCCCCCACCCCCCAAAGAGGAAGACAGCCAATCGGAGGGCTCGCAAGAGGAGGAGGAGGAGAGGGTCCAGCCAGGCAGCGGGGACTCCGATGGCGGGGGCGATAGTGGCGGGGAGATGGATTTCCCCGACACGAACATCGACCTGTCTCACCTGTCTCAGCCATCTCACCTACACATGCACAGGTGAGGGCATCGCTCCACCTTCCCCCTCCTCTCCCCCCATCCCCTCATTCGCTCGCACTTGGCGCCAGCGGCTGTGTGTGGCGCGCGATGCCTATCGTGTGTCTCCCGTGTTTCCCCCGCAGGCCCGGCATGGCAGCTGGGTCCGACGGAGTGCCAGCGAGCACATCACAAGCCTCGGAGATGCAGGGAGACGCACAGGTACCGCACGTGGAGACGCACGGACACGCACGGACACGCACAGACACGCACAGACACGCACAGACACGCACAGACACACAGTAGTAAAGGCCACGGGTAACGAACACAGACACACACAGAGACACACTGACACACAGTAGTAAAAGCCACGGGTAACGAACACAGACACACACAGAGACACACTGACACACATTAATAAAGGCCACGGGTAACGAACACAGACACGCACAGAGACACACTGACACGCATTAATAAAGGCCACGGGTAACGAACACAGAGACACACATGGTAACTGTGCATCTTTAATCGTGATGAACTGTCAACCTGGATCCTAATAATTCATTGATCTGTGAACCGTAACTTGCCCCAATCAATTCTAGATGTACTCACTCTTTCCCCTCTCCGAATGCCGCGTTTCTCTCCAGAGAGATGAGAAATCACGGAAACATCTCTCTGCCAAGGAGCGCAGGTCAGTCCACACTTAACTTGCAAACCCGGGGAGGCTGAAACTGGGATTAGAACCCAGGATCTCAGCAGTGCCTGCTCCGCGCTTCTGACCTTCTCATAACTGCAGCCACATGACCTCACTGCCACCCTACCTACCCTGCCCCAACCCTCCCACCCCACCTACCCTGCCCTCCCACCCCTCCACCACCCCTTGTGACTCCAGGGACCTTAAGAAGCAGAAGAAGCATCCCGGGGCTCAGACAGGGCTCGCCTGCAGCTCAACCCCGCAGGATATCGAAACGCCCTTTTCGGACCCCGCGGACCCCTCGGACCACGCGGACCACGCGGACCCCTCTGCTGCTGGATCCCAGGCCGAGGCGGAGAGGGTGATGAGAGAGGGCGAGAAGCTGGGAGGGGTGACCCAGCCTGCCCACAAACGTGGCCAGAAGGTGGGGGGGCTCACCTGCTGTGTTCTCACTCTCCTGCTGCCTCCTGCTTCTTCCCCCTGCTACCTCCTACTGCCTCCTGCTTCCCCCTACTGCCTCCTGCTTCCCCTTGCTACCTTCTGCTTCCCCCTGCTACCTCCTGCTTCCCCCTGCTACCTCCTACTGCCTCCTACTTCCCCCTACTGCCTCCTGCTTCCCCCTACTGCCTCCTGCTTCCCCCTACTGCGTCCTGCTTCCTCCTGCTTCCCCCTGCTTCCTCCTGCTTCCCCCTGCTACCTCCTGCTTCCCCCTGCTTCCCCCTACTTCCCCCTACTACCTCCTGCTTCCCCCTGCTACCTCCTGCTTCCCCCTACTGCCTCCTGCTTCCCCCTGCTACCTCCTGCTTCCCCTTGCTTCCTCCTGCTTCCCCCTGCTACCTCATACTTCCCCCTGCTATCTCATACTTCCCCCTGCTACCTCATACTTCCCCCTGCTTCCTCCTGCTTCCCCCTGCTACCTCATACTTCCCCCTGCTACCTCCTGCTTCCCCTTGCTTCCTTCTGCTTCCCCCTGCTACCTCATACTTCCCCCTGCTACCTCATACTTCCCCTTGCTTCCTCCTGCTTCCCCCTGCTACCTCATACTTCCCCCTGCTTCCTCCTGCTTCCCCCTGCTACCTCCTGCTTCCCCCTGCTACCTCCTGCTTCCCCCTGCTTCTTCCTGCTTCCCCATGCTACCTCATAGTTCCCCCTGCTACCCCCTGCTTCCCCCTGCTGCCTCCTGCTTCCCCCTACTGCCTCCTACTGCGTCCTGCTTCCTCCTGTTTCCTCTTGCTACCTCCTACTGCGTCCTAACTCTCCTGCCTGAGTTCATTTCCCAGCCATGGCTACCATCAGTGGCATGTGATATAAGAAACCCATGCTGGATCCCCTCTAGGTTAACCTTAAATGAGTACCTGGTACGGTGTGTAAACATGGGCACTGGGGAGATAAAGGCGGCCGGATGTAGTGTTGGCCCACAGCACTCCTTTGTATGCCAGGCTCGCATTCATAGATGCTCGGAAATAGCAGTAGCCCCAACAGCCAGTGAAAATATACCTGGGAGATCTTCATCTTTGTGTTTGCGTGTGTTGGGTGCGAGCAGGGCAAGTTAAAGAAGATTCGGGAGAAGTACGCGGACCAGGATGAGGAAGAGCGGAAGCTGAGGATGGAGCTGCTCGGGGTGAGGCCTTGCCCTGCTACTTATCTCACATGGAGGCGTGTGTGTCGCCTAGCCGTACGCGCGTCACGTGACCAGGCGACCTGTCACGTGACCAGGCGACCTGTCGCGTGACCACGCGACCTGTCACGTGCTCACGCGACCTGTCACGTGACCACGCGACCTGTCATGTGACCACGCGACCTGTCACGTGACCAGGCGACCTGTCAGGTGCTCGTGTCCTGTCACGTGCTCGTGTGCCTGTCACGTGCTCGTGTTCCTGTCACGTGCTCGTGTTCTTGTCACGTGCTCGTGTCCTGTCACGTGCTCGTGTCCTGTCACGTGCTCGTGTTCCTGTCACGTGCTCGTGTCCTGTCACATGACCTTGTGTGCTTTTCATGTGTTGGCAGTCGGAGGGGAAGCCAAAGGAACCCAAACACAAAAAAGGCAAGGGAAAGAAGGATGAGCACGTGAAACATAAGCCCGCGCCACGCCCAATCAACATCCAGCCTCGGGGTCCGGTGACCCCCGTGGAGCAGGCTGCCAATCAGCTGAGAGACGTGACGGTCTCCTCTGAGCAGCAGGGGGGCGACGCGGAGGACAAGGTGAGAGTGGCGGCGTGAGTGCGGAATCGCGGTCTCGCCACAGGATTTCTGCACCGGGTGGGGGGAGGTCCCCCACGTGTCTCTCATTTTCTGCGTCGCGTCTCAAACTTGTACCCGTCGTGTCGCCACGCAGGACCCGGACGACGGAGAAACAGAGCAGGCCGCAGTCGAGGTAAGTGGGGCGGGGGGGGGGCAGGGGGGGCCCTGTCTGCAGCTGGTCACGTGGGATGCCACTTGCAACCGCCCCTGCCTTCGTGTGATTGGAGTGGTATGTTGGGTGAGCTGACAGGGATGTTGGCGATGATGTGATGATAACATGTGGATATTTGCCGTAATTTGGTCATCAAGCGGTGCTGATGTGACAGTGATGCGGTTATTAATTGACCGGTGATGTGACAAATACGTCGGGGGTGATGTGACGGTGATGTGACGGTGATGTGATGTCTAGGACGCGGAGGCTGTGCTGGACTCTTTGACTGGGCAGCCGGATGCTGACGACCTCCTCCTGTTTGCAATCCCGACCTGCGCCCCCTATACAGCCATGACCAACTACAAGTACCACACGCCCACACAAACAAACAAAGATCCTCCCTATAGCCTTAACAATTGTTGGGGCAAGTGCTGTTAGCCTATGAAGGCCGGAATGGCACACGAGGGGGTGGGTGGCCAGCAACCACGCCCGGCCGCCTTTGTCTCCCTAGTGGCAATGTTTACGCACCACACCAGGTACTCATTTGACTCTGAGTCGACCTAGTGGAGGCCCAGGACCGGTTCAGATAATCATCACTGGTATGGGCAGTGAGCGGGAGTTGAACTCGGGTCGCCAGGTTCGTAGCACAGCGCGCTAATCGCTACACTACCACAACATGGGACCCTTCTTACCAGTAAGAATAGGCTTTACCCTTTCTTGGCAACAAAACAGGTGGTGTTAAGATGTTCAAACACCAAACAGAAACCTTTTTCAAGGAATCATGTCTGCATTAACCACACGTACTTGTGGAGAACATGATACTATATGCATTGTCTTTGAAACTGATTGGTCTACACCAGAGACACCTTTCTTTAGGGCCTAGTCTCAACCAGTGTTAGGCCAGAGAAAGCCAAAAGGCGAAAAGCTGTCCGCCACACTACCGCTCCCCACACACAGGCACAGGCACACATGGGCATGTGCACACATGGGTAAACACGCACAAATAACTGCACAGGTATATGCAGAGATACGCACATACACACGGCTACACAGATGTACATACACATGGCTACACAGATGTACATACACATGGCTACACAGATGTACATACACACGGCTACACAGATGTACATAAACATGCAGGCTTGCACACACACACACAAATAGGCATGTGCATACACTGACAAAAAAGACAAAGATCCCCCGTGTAGCCTTAACAGACTGTAGGGGCAAGTGCTGTTAGCAAGCACCTATGAAGGCCATAACGGTACACGAGGGGGTGGGTGGCCAGCACCACGCCCGACCGCCTTTGTCTCCCCAGTGGCGATGTTTACACACCGCACCAGGTACTCATTTCAGGCTGAGTCGACCTAGGGGAGGCCCAGGACCGGTTCAGATAATCGTCACTGGTGTTAGCTGTGAGCGGGAATCGAACCCGGATCGCCAGGTTTATAGCGCAGCGCGCTAACCGCGACACTACCGCTCCCCACGCATACACTGACACACACACACACTCGTACATACATGTACGCATGCACAGACGTGGTGAGGTGGACCTGCCCTGAGGCTGTACGCTCTGCCACCAGGTTCAAGGTGAAGCTTACTCCTGGGGCCCAGAAGAAAGGCAAAGGTGCGTCCTGACAGCTGCCACTGTGTGTGTGCGCTTGTGTGTGTGCGCTTGTGTGTGTGTGTGCGCTTGTGTGTGTGTGTGCGCTTGTGTGTGTGTGTGCACTTGTGTGTGTGTGTGCGCTTGTGTGTGTGTGTGCACTTGTGTGTGTGTGTGTGCGCTTGTGTGTGTGCGCTTGTGTGTGTGCGCTTGTGTGTGTGTGTGCTTGTGTGTGTGTGCGCTTGTGTGTGTGTGTGCGTGTGTGTGTGTGCGCGTGTGTGTGCTTGTTGTGTGTGTGTGCGCACGCTTGTGTGTGTGTGTGTGGTCACGAACAGCACTTGTCCCAACAATCTGTTAAGGCTCTACCGGTGGTCTTGATGTATGTGAGGAGCGATGGCACAGTGGTTAGCAAACAGCTCTAAGAACTCAGCAACTTGAATTGGAATCCCACTCATGACAACATTCGTAACAAACCTAAACTGGTCATGAGACTCCCTTAGGTTAACTCATCCTTAAATGAGCACCTAGTGCAGTTTGTTAGCATCGGCATTGGGGAGACAAAGGCGGCCGGGCGTCGTGTTGGCCACCCACGCTCTCGTGTGCCGTGCCGGCCTTCATAGGTGCTCGGTAACCAGCACTTGCCCCACAGTCTGCGTAGGCTACACCGAGGGTCTTTGTAGCGGTGTGTGCTTTTAGTGTGTGGTGGTGTGTACGGCCGGTGGTGGTGGCGCGTGCCGTTGTTTGGATGAGTACCGTTGTTTGGGTGTGCGCCGTTGTTTGGCTGTGCGCCGTTGTTTGGCTGTGTGCCGTTGCGTGCTTTCTTACTGCGCTCCCGTGTGGCCGAACATCCACGTTTGTGCGTCGCAGCTGCCAAGACGGCCCTGCACAGCTTCCTCCACGCGCGCGACACCACGGCGCGGGAGAAGGATCTCTTCAAGAGCGTCAAGGCGAGTCAGAGAGAGAGCGAGTGGGGGAAGCAGGGGAGGAGGGCAAATGATCCTGATGACGACAGGGGCGGCACGGGAGAGGGGGTGGGCAGCGACTCGAGCTCGGAGACACCGGCCGAACGTGACCTCGACGTTCAAACAACCATGGCCTCCACAGCTTGCTCAGACGAACCCTGCTCCTAGCCAAGTTTTCTTCCTGGGTCTACTGCCCCTGATCTGGCTGAAGCTGTGTGGGACACACAAACTCGTACACACACGACAAAGACCCCCTGTATAGCCCTTCAGACTATTGGGTCAAGTGCTGTTAGCGAGCACCTATGAAGGCCGGCACGGCACACAAGGAGGTGGGTGGCCAGTACCACGCCCGACCGCCGTTGTCTGCCCAGTGGCGATATTTTTACACACCGCACCAGGGACTCATTTGAGGCTGAGTCAACCTATGGGAGGCCTAGGATCGGTTGAGATAATCGTCACTGGTGTTGGCCGTGAGCGGGAATCAAACTCGGGTCGCCGCTTTCGTAGCGCAGCTTAGCGCTAACACGCATACACATACCCTGCAGTCGCTACGGGTGCTCATTCCTGCAACTACGCGGGGTGTTAAATGTCAAACTCAATGGCAAAAACATCAAATACCGAATCAAATCGCACATCCACAATGACACAATTGTTCCAGGTCCAGCAGAGAGGGGACAGAGAGGACGGATCGATGAGCTGAGTGCCGAGAATTTTGGCTATGTCCTCCCCCCCCACCCACCCCGGTAGGATACGGACCTGTCCAGGAACGTTCCGGGCAAGGTGAAGGTCTCCGCTCCGAACCTGCAGGCCACCAAGCGCAAGTGATTCCAGCTCCTGGGCACCACCACCACCGCCGACGGCCAACACCTCGCACCCTCGCCTGCGCTCACGGCCTGCGCCACATGCCTGGCCACATGGCCAATACCTTGCTACTGGTGTGAGATCAAATTTGACCGAATAAAATATTAAACACGGGGTTTGAACCCTGGGGATACACATTCTATTATAGCGATATGATTCCACTGTGGAAACAATACCCGGTCAACACCTGGAAGACACATGGTCCTCCTGGCGGTCTGTCCGGGGCAGTGACCTGGAAAATATTTCCGCACCGCCAGCACACCACATCCAGTATATACCTGTCCCTTACGATTACCCCGACTACCACTGTTCACATGCCACCCACTCCAGCCTACCTGCTAACTGGAATATATTCAGTGAGAAATGTATCTCTTCCGATGCCTGCCCGATACCCGTTGGCCGTGTGGCCGATACCTGGCGGATGGCGCAGAATTTCATCGCTGGAGCTGTAGCCTGGAACGAAGATGCTCTGGGAAAAACACCGTCCGTTGCAGCCAGTCGTAGTTGAGGGTACGACTGTTTACACTCAAGACACGGGCATCGAGTCGTGTGTGCGAGGAGCAATTACGATTAACGCAGATTTATAATTCGCGCATTTGGTATTCGAGTCCCTGTCAGTGCATTGCTGTCACGAAGGGAAGGTGCTATGTTCCAGAGGGATATGGTTCTGCCAGTAGGGAGCGTTGATTGATGTGCGTAACCCGGATGGAGTAATTTGCGGTTTAATTTTTTTACACACCATTACGCCGGCACACAATGGCCTAACATCCACTGTGAAACAAACTGCATATTTATACAGATGTACGCACGACGTAGTAATAACCAGGACGGCCTGCCGGATTCGAACTGCCTACCTGACATGGCTGGGCCACGTCACCAGGCTGCATGTGAACGTGGAGCGGTGGTCCAGCGGTTTGCGCACCGCGGTACAAACACGGTGAGGGCAGTTCCGATTCCGAGACGCGGGTGACATCGGTCGCGGGTGACATCCCGTCCTCTCCGCCCTTCACCAATCCGCGCTGCCAGCGTGAAGTATGGTCGTAATAGCACGCTGACCGACACTGCGTGAGGAGAAGAGGCTTTCAGCCGTTGGTGGATAGAGAATGGCTGGGAATCATGCTTGTATGCGAATGTGGCATTCCGGCTAGACAGCAGCAAACTCAGCGGCACCAACCAGGTCGAAACAACGAGACGGGGGGAGGGTGGGGGGGAAACGAGATCAACGGGAATGCTTTGCGGGACCCGGAATCGTGACAATCCAGTCACGTTGCTGGGGGTGGGGGGCATCGGGGCAGGCCTGGCTCCAGCTGCTCTCGGATTCGGGGGGGGGGTCAACTTTGGTGGGGCGCAGGGACGATTAGTGGCACAGGGCCCATCCCAGGGCCCATCCAAGGGCCCACCATCAAGCCGGCCCTGCTCCGGTTTTTGGGTAAATCGTTACGTGGCCATTAGCCATGCGCAGTCACATCTGGATATAAGCACATCCCCCGTGGGAGCAAATCCAGCTGCCTATATCCCATATGGTGTGCTTGTATCAGAAGTTCCCTCCTTCCCCCCTACCAGTTTCATATAATGATGTGTTGCTTGTATTATAATAACTGTGCTTACATCATCCAATCCAAGCGTCCCAATATAAAAAATAAAAACATGACTGCTATTACAGATTCTCTCACCACCGTGAGTTTATATCATCGTCTTTAGTCACCATCCACTCTTCCCTGATCGCGATCCACCACATCCATCCATCTCGCCCTCCCTCCTGCTACCACATTTGTGATAGCCATGTCGCTTCTGAAAAAGAGCTATTTAGCTTAGTTTACCTAACCTGGTAAAATAAAAAATACAATTGGTTAGTTTAGACCAGGAGTGGTTCTTAACCTGGGGGTGCACGCTGCACCCCGTGGGGGTTCGAGATGCCCTTTCTGGGGCTGCGAGACATGGGCAGATTTTTTTTGAGAAGGTAAATCATCACTTTGTTTTCATCAAACCCCAGGTGTGTATGAACATTGTAGATGTTTTAACGCTTGAGAACCAAAGGGGGGTGTAAGCAAGGCTGCAGTAAAAGGTTAAGCCACCGATTTAGACCGATCGTCTCGTCTCATCCACACATTGTGTTCAACCACCACCATCCTAACATCGCAAGGTTTTTTGGGTTAGTTCGCGTAAATATGTTAAACCCGCCACCACCCGACACAGCCAATTAGTAAGGTTTGTCACGTAAATAGAACATGCCAATTCGCTACTAGCACAGCAGACCGGTGTGAACAAATGTGGATTTGCTGTCCAACATGTTCTGTTTACGTGAAAAAAACTTTCTAATTGGCTCTGTCGGGTGGTGGTGGCGGCGGGTTTAACGACACATTTATTTTTACGCGAACCAACCCAAAAAAACTTGTATTCACACACCACTTCTCCAACCTGCCTCTTCCTCCCTTGCCATTGCTCCACTGTGGAATTCCATCCCGTCGTCGCTTCCCCCAAGCTCTTACACCGATAATAACACCCCTCTGTTTACTTCTCGGATAGCGCTGTGTGTTGCTGGCCGATTTACCTTCGTACCTTGTGCTCAGCAATTGTATCCAAAACATACCCAACGCACTGTACCACGACAGAACTGTGATTAAGCTGCATCAGATGTGAGGGGGTATGCCCAGCTTCTACTGAGTTTAGACAGGTCAAGGTAGGACGACTGATAGCAGCAACAGCGGCAGTATTCCGCGTTCCCGTGCTCCACTCTGCCCGGCTCCACTCTGCCCGGCTCCACTCTGCTTCCTCGTGCTCCACTCCGCTCTCTCGTGCTCCACCCCGCTCCCTCGTGCTCCACCCCGCTCCCTCGTGCTCCGCTCTGCCCGGATCCACTCCGCTCTGCCCTGATCCACTCCACTCTGCCGGAGTCCCCAAGAGAAACCTCCCCGGGGTGGAGCTGCGTAGAGGCGTGACTTGACGCTTGGCCCCACCCCCACGTGCTAGCGAATGAATGCACGTGTGAGTGAGTGGATGAATGAAAGTACGTGAATGAGTTGAAGCACGTGTGTGAATGAGCACGTATTGATTGAAGCAGGTGTGAATGAATTTTAAGAGTGCGTACACGAGCGAAAGCACAGGTGTGGATACATTAACGATTGAATGAAAGCACTTGCGATGAGTACAAGTGAATGAATGACAGCATGTTTCTGAGCACACGAATGAATGAAAGCGCCGGGTGCACGCGTGAATGAATGAAATCACGTCTGAGTAGACAGGAATGAATGAGGGGACGTGAGTAGACATGCTTGTGAATGATACCGCGTGCGAGTGAATGAGAACACGAATGAATTAACACGTGCTCACACTCGCCGCTCGGGCTGCAGGGGAGGTTTTGCGCGTGCGCGTGTGGAGGGGAGAGATGCGTGACCTCTACGCATCATCATCCACCATCACATCATCATCCACCATCACATCATCATCCACGATCACATCATCATCCACCACCACATCATCATCCACCACCACATCATCATCCACTACCACATCGTCATCCACTACCACATCGTCATCATCATCCACCACATCGTCATCATCCGCCTCGTCTTTCTCATACACAACATCAGCAGCATCATCATCCGCATTATCATTCTCATTCATCTCATCCACCTCGTTCTCCAGCACCTCATCATCCTCCCATTCCTCCTCGTCGTCACCGGCAGCCGCCGCCGCCTCCCGCCCTGGTGCCGGAGTCCCCCGCCCCGGTCCCGCGCAGACACACGAGGTGTGTGGAGGGAGCGAGGGGGTGCAGAGGGGGTGCTGGGGGGAGAGGGGCCGGGTCCCCTTTGTCTAAGGGTGCGCGAGGCGAGGCGCGAGGCCCCGACCCGGCGCGAACTGGGCCTGGGGTGTGGCTGTGATGTGGAAGGGAGTGGTGGTGGTGGTTGAAGGGAGTAGTGAGCGGTGGTGGAAGGGAGCGGTGGTGGTGGAAGGGAGTTGTGGTAGTTGGAGGTAGTGGTGGTGATGACAGGGAGTGGGAATGATGATGGTGGTGGTAGGGAGCGGTGGTTGTGGTGGTGGGGAGCGGTGGTGGTGGTGGGAGAGAGTGATGGTGCTGGTGGGAGGGAGTGGTGGTGCTGGTGGGAGGGAGTGGTGGTGGTGCTGGTGGGTGGGAGGGAGTGGTGGTGGTGGTGGGGGGGAGTGGTAGTGGTGCTGGTGGGAGGGAGTGGTGGTGGTGGGAGGGAGTGGTGGTGGTGGTGGGAGGGAGTGGTGGTGGTAAGAGGGAGTGGTGGTGGTAGGGAGTGGTGGTGGTAGGGAGTGGTGGTGGTGGGAGGGAGTGGTGGTGGTGGTAGGGAGTGGTGGTGGTGGTGGTGGTGCTGGTGGGAGGGAGTGGTGGTGCTGGTGGGAGGGAGTGGTGGTGGTGCTGGTGGGAGGGAGTGGTGGTGGTGGTGGTGGTGCTGGTGGGAGGGAGTGGTGGTGGTGGTGCTGGTGGGAGGGAGTGGTGGTGGTGGTGCTGGTGGGAGGGAGTGGTGCTGGTGGGAGGGGGTGGTGGTGGTGGTGGTGCTGGTGGGAGGGAGTGGTGGTGGTGGTGCTGGTGGGAGGGAGTGGTGGTGGCGGTGGTGCTGGTGGGAGGGAGTGGTGGTGGTGGTAGTGCTGGTGGGACGGAGTGGTGGTGGTGCTGGTGGGAGGGGGTGGTGCTGGTGGGAGGGAGGGAGAGAGAGTGGTGATGGTGGTGATGATGGTGGCTTGAGGGTGATGGCTGTCGAGGGGGTGGTGTTGATGGTCACGTTGGTAGTCGCAGTGTTTTAGTCGTGATGATTGTGATAATAATTGTGGTGGTAATGAGGATTACAGACAGTGATGGTGATGTGTGTAGTGATGGTGATAATGTTAGTGGTGGTTGATGGGAGTGGTGGTGGTGACCATCATGATCATGTTCGTGGAAGATTTTCCCGAAATCTGAATGGAAGCCCCGGTCGCAAGTGATGGTGATGGTGCTGACGGTGATGCTGAGTGTGGTTTGTGGTGATCCCAGCCAAAATGTCCCACCAGCCCCGCGTGTGCCCCCACAAAAACCCCAACTCGGGTTCACTACCAGCCCCCTACCCCTCACCCATCCTGACAGCGCCCTCCTCCCCCCCCCCCCCCAGATCCCCCTCACTTATTCAGGTCCCCTTTTCTAAGGGGGTAAACACACCGTGCGTATCCGCCCTTTCGCGAACACGTGCGTGTGTGTGTATGTCGTGGTTGTGTGTGTGTATGTCGTGGTTGTGTGTCGTGAGTGTGGGTGTATGTCGTGGTTGTGTGTGTGTGTATGTCGTGGTTGTGTGTCGTGAGTGTGTGTGTATGTCGTGGTTGTGTGTGTGTATGTCGTGGTTGTGTGTGTATGTCGTGGTTGTGTGTCGTGAGTGTGGGTGTATGTCGTGGTTGTGTGTGTATGTCGTGGTTGTGTGTCGTGAGTGTGGGTGTATGTCGTGGTTGTGTGTGTGTATGTCGTGGTTGTGTGTCGTGAGTGTGTGTGTATGTCGTGGTTGTGTGTGTGTGTCGTGGTTGTGTGTGTGTGTGTATGTCGTGGTTGTGTGTGTCGTGAGTGTGGGTGCATGTGTCGTGCGAAAGAATGGGGGGGGGAGCGGTGGTGCAACGGTTAGCGCGTTGCGCTATGAACCGACCCGAGGGACTTACCCGCTCACGGCCAACACCAGTGGCTATCTGAATCGGTTCTGGGCCTCCTCTAGGTTGACTCCGCCTCAAATGAGTACCCGGTGCGATGTGTAAACATGGCCACTGGGGAGACAAAGGCGGCCGGGCGTGTTACTGGTCACCCACCCCCTCGTGTGCCGTGCTAACAGCACTTGCCCCCAACAGTGTGTTCAGGCTATACGGGGGATCTTCATCTTTTTAGTTGTACACGTGTTTATGCATGTGTCTGTGTTGTTCAAGAGTTAATATGTATATATTTGCGTGTTTAAGTGTTGATGTGTATGCATTTTTGCCTCTGTTGTACAAGTGTTGATGTGTCTGTATTTGTGTGTGTGTGTAAGTGTTGATGTGTCTGTGTGTTGTACAAGTTATATACTTAATTCGCGGTTTAGTGGTAATTAATTGAAGGTGGAGGGGTTACCAGCCCCTCGCACCCGTCCAGAGCCCCCGTTTAGCCCCCGTGGTGGACACAGACGCCATGAGGGGAGGAGCCAATCACAATTGGACCTCCCCCCACAGCACTGTCCACGACAGAGTTGCCCGTCCGGCACCGCGAGGAGGTAGGGGGTTGTTTTCCCATACCTGGGCAGTGTGCTTATGACTGGCTCCAGTTTAACAGCAGAGGTCTCACTCCGAATCAGTCGAGCGGCAATATCTTTTCATCGGTTGCGTAACGCTGTGTGGAAGCTACCTCCCTTCTCTACGCTTGCGAAACGTGGACCCCCCCTAATGGAATATCTTCGCCGGTTAGAAACATTTAGGCTGGCCTGCCTACGATCCATCCTGGGTTTAACCAGACTGGATTGTGTGAGGAGCTCACTAATCCTTGAAAGATCTGGGCAAGGTCCCATCGGTGAGCTCCTCCGGCAGGGAAGGCTGCGATGGCTGGGTCATGTAGCCCGCATGCCCAGCCACCGCATGCCGAAACCGCTTTTGTTCGGCCGGATCGAGGGGGCTAAGCAGGCGCGGCACGGGCTAGAGAAGAGATGGAGTGATGTGGCACGGGAGGACGTGGAGCTGAGTGGACTTGCCGATGACTGGTACCAGCGGTGTCAAGATCGGCCTCTGTGGAGGAGGCTCGTGAAGGACGCTACTGGGCAGTTGGAGGCAGTCGCCCTCCAACAACAACGGAGGAGCGACGCTCACAACAACGAACGGAGCGCCGGGTGGCTAAAGCACAGCAGGTTGCCACAGTAGGGGGCACAGGTGGTGCATCAGCCAGTCATCTCAGTCAGTCAACCCGTGGCACCTGCTGGGTCTGCCCCGTGACCTCCTGCCAGCGGGCGTTCGACACTTCACGTGGCCTCAAGGTGCACATGGCCTGGCACAAGCGTCGTGGTGACGTCACCGCCACTTAGTGGCGAATGGCGGTTGTTGTTGTACAAGTGTTGATGTGTATGTGTGTGTGCACAATTGTTGATGTGTATGTGTGTTGTACAAGTGTTGTGTGTGTGTGTACAAGTGTTGATGTGTAATTATGTGTCTGTGTGTGTGTGTGTACAAGTGTTGATGTGTATGTGTGTTGTACAAGTGTTGATGTGTAATTGTGTCTGTGTGTGTGTGTACAAGTGTTGATGTGTAATTGTGTGTCTGTGTGTGTACAAGTGTTGATGTGTAATTGTGTCTGTGTGTGTACAAGTGTTGATGTGTACTTGTGTGTCTGTGTGTGTGTACAAGTGTTGATGTGTAATTGTGTGTGTGTGTACAAGTGTTGATGTGTAATTGTGTGTGTGTGTACAAGTGTTGATGTGTAATTGTGTGTCTGTGTGTGTGTGTACAAGTGTTGATGTGTAATTGTGTGTCTGTGTGTACAAGTGTTGATGTGTAATTGTGTGTCTGTGTGTGTGTGTACAAGTGTTGATGTGTAATTGTGTGTGTGTACAAGTGTTGATGTGTATGTGTGTTGTACAAGTGTTGATGTGTAATTGTGTGTCTGTGTGTACAAGTGTTGATGTGTAATTGTGTGTCTGTGTGTGTGTACAAGTGTTGATGTGTGTGTGTTGTACAAGTGTTGATGTGTAATTGTGTGTCTGTGTGTGTACAAGTGTTGATGTGTAATTGTGTGTCTGTGTGTGTGTACAAGTGTTGATGTGTAATTGTGTGTACAAGTGTTGATATGTAATTGTGTGTCTGTGTGTGTACAAGTGTTGATGTGTACGCATATTTGTCTGCGTGTGTGAGAGAGCCGACCGGATGTGGTCTGGCCTCCCTTAGCTGAACTCGCACTGTGGAACACACACACACACCAATACATACACACGAACACTCATACAACACACACACACAGACACACACGCAGACACACGTGATCCGAACGCTGCGCCTGTGTTCTCTCCCAGCTCCGGCCCTATGAGCAGCAGGAGACTGCTTCCCACGGTCCCCGCGGGACCCGGGGGACCTGCGGAGACCAGCAGGTGAGTGACTCCACGGGACCCCCCCCCCACCGGCCGGGGTGTCTCCCTACGTGTTCCGCGTGTCCCCCGTGTCCCCCATGTCCCCCACGTCTCCCACTCCCCATGTCTCCCATGTCTCCCACGTGTCTCCCTACGTGTTCCGAGTGTCCCCCACGTCCCCCATGTCCCCCACGTCTCCCACTCCCCATGTCTCCCATGTCTCCCACGTGTCTCCCTACGTGTTCCGCGTGTCCCCCACGTCCCCCATGTCCCCCACGTCTCCCACTCCCCATGTCTCCCATGTCTACCCCGTGTCCCCACGTCTCTGTGTCCCCCTGTCCCCCGTGTCCCCACGTCTCTGTATCCCCCGTGCCCCCCATGTCCCCCACGTCTCCCACTCCCCATGTCTCTCCCGTGTCCCCACGTCTCTGTGTCCCCCGTGTCCCCACATCTCCCACGTCTCTGTGTCCCCCACGGCTCCGTCTCCACGAGTCTTTGTCTGCGTTCACCAGAATCCCAATGTCTACGTGTTGATGTGTTGATGTCTCCGTGTTGATGTCTGGATGTCTCCGTGTTGATGTGTTGATGTCTCCGTGTTGATGTCTGGATGTCTCCGTGTTGATGTGTTGATGTCTCCGTGTTGATGTCTGGATGTCTCCGTGTTGATGTGTTGATGTCTCCGTGTTGATGTCTGGATGTCTCCGTGTTGATGTGTTGATGTCTCCGTGTTGATGTCTGGATGTCTCCGTGTTGATGTGTTGATGTCTCCGTGTTGATGTCTGGATGTCTCCGTGTTGATGTGTTGATGTCTCCGTGTTGATGTCTGGATGTCTCCGTGTTGATGTCTCCGTGTTGATGTCTGGATGTCTCCGTGTTGATGTGTTGATGTCTCCACGTTGACGTGTCAATGTCGACGTCTCGATGTTGATGTCTCCGTGCCGATGTCCACAGTGAGCTAGCGGTGGTGGTCGCTGTCCCAATGTTCTACGATGACTCGAGTCGCCGCTGGGTTCCGTGTGCTGGGGGGCGAGCGGGGGAATCCGGTCCCGCGTCCATCCACCTCCTCAAGGAGCGCACCTCCATCCGCGTGTGGGGGCAGCGTGTATACGACCAGCAGGTGTGTAGGTGTGTGTGTAGGTGTGTGTGTGTAGCTGTGTGTAGGTGTGTATGGGGAGCGGTAGTGTAGCGGTTAGCGCGCTGCGCTATGAACCCGCCGACACGGGTTCGATTCCCGCTCACGGCCAACACCAGTGACGATTATCTGAACTGGTCCCGGGCCTCCCCTAGGTCGACTCAGCCTCAAATGAGTATCTAGTGCGGTGTAAACATTGCCACTAGGGAGACAAAGGCAGTCAGGCGTGGTGCTGACCACCCACCCCCTCGTGTACCGTTCTGGCCTTCATAGGTGCTCGCTAACAGCACTTGCCCCTACAGTCTGTTAAGGCTATATGGGGTGTCTTTGTCGTGTGTGTACGAGTTTGTGTGTCCCACACAGCTTCAGACAGATCAGGGGCAGTCGACCCAGTAGGAAAACGAGGCTAGAAGCAGGGTTCGTCTGAGCAAGCACTTGCTCCTACAGTCTGTTAAGGCTACACGGAGGATATTTTGTTGTTGTGTGTTTGGGGAGCGGTGGAGCAGTGATTAGCGCGCTGCGCTATGAACCCGGCGACCTGGGTTCGATTCCTGCTCACAGTCGACACCCGTGACGATTATCTGAACCAGTCCTGGGCCTCCCCAGGTCGACTCAGCCTCAAATGAGTATCTAGTGCGGTATGTAAACATTGCCCCTCGGGAGATAAAGGCAGCTGGGCGTGGTGCTGGCCACCCACCCCTATCGTGTGCTGTTCCGGCCTACATAAGTGCTCGCTAACAGCACTGGCCCCAACAGTCTGTTAAGGCTACACGGGGGGTCTTGTTAAGCGGCATCTTCTCATCAGCTGCATAACGCTGTGTTGAAGCTGCCTGTCGCTCCATACGAAGCTCCGGGTCATACTCCGCCACAGTCATGCCCTCCCTTCACTGCGCTTGCGAAATGTGGACCCCTTTTTGAAGGAACATCTGCGCCGGTTCAAAACACCCAGGCTGGCCTCCGTACGATCCATCCTGGGTTTAACCAGACTGGATTGTGTGATGGAGCTCACAAATCCTTGAAAGATCTGGACACAGTCCGATCAGGAAGCTCTCCTCCAGCAGGCAAGGCTGCATCGGTATGGGTCATGTAGCCCACATCCAGATAGAAGAGGCTGAGCGAGTGCTGCATGGGCTGGAGAGGAGATGGCCTGATGCAGTACCGCAGGATGTGGAGCTGGTTGGATTTGTCTCTGAGGAGGAGGCTCGTTAAGGACGCTACTTTGGCAATTGGAGGCAGGTGCCCTCCAACAAAAGCAGAGGGCAGAGGAATTATGCTCACAACAACGAGTGGAGCCCAGGGCGACTAAAAGGCATCAAGTTGGCACAGTGGGGTGTGGGGGAGGATGCAGGCAGTACCTCTACCAGCCATCTCAGTTAACCCATGGCACCTGGGTCCGTCCAAAGACCTGGCAGCGAGTGTTCCACACTTCACGTCGCCTCGAGGGGTACCGCTTCTTGCTCAAGCACCGTGGTGACGTCACCGTCACTTAGTGGCTGTTGTTGATGTAGAGCAGTGACTCTCAATTGCAGTGTTCAGGGAGCCCACCGTCCAAGACCACATCACCCCCAACCTGCGATCCCTCCGCTACTTCCCAATACAATCTCAGATCAATGTCAAGATTGCACTCGCTTTATTCAAGATACTCCATGGACTCACTCCTGCCTAACACTCCCCTCTCACCTCACTCTGCTCCCCTCCACGCACTCTCCCACCCCACCACTCTCACCTCACTCTAATCCCCTCCACGCACTCTCCCACCCCACCACTCCCACCTCACTCTGCTCCCCTCCACGCACTCTCCCACCTCACCACTCTCACCTCACTCTGCCCCCCTCCACGCACTCTCCCACCTCACCACTCCCATCTCACTCTACTCCCCTCCATGCACTCTCCCACCTCACCACTCTCACCTCACTCTGCTCCCCTCCACGCACTCTCCCACCTCACCACTCCCATCTCACTCTACTCCCCTCCACGCACTCTCCCACCTCACCACTCCCACCTCACTCTAATCCCCTCCACGTACTCTCCCACCCCACCACTCTCACCTCACTCTGCTCCCCTCCATGCACTCTCCCACCTCACCACTCCCATCTCACTCTACTCCCCTCCACGCACTCTCCCACCCCACCACTCCCACCTCACTCTAATCCCCTCCACGCACTCTCCCACCCCACCACTCTCACCTCACTCTAATCCCCTCCACGCACTCTGCTGCCTCTCCGACTCGTGTAAACAAACGGCCGCTATTACAGTCCTATGACTGTGGTGGTTATCATTATTCCTGCGCGTGTCCCCCTCCTACGGCCAAGCCACGGGGAATCCGCCCGATCTCGGCAGATCTCGGCAGCTGAGCCACTTTTGAGCCTGGACTGCGCCGCACGAGGGCGGGAGAGCGACCGCCTCGAGCCGGTGTCCAAGCGCTGTGCTGGCTGCGGGGTCAGCAGAGGGCGGTGTAGGGAAATTGTGCAGCGCGCTGCTGCACGGCACTCGCTAAGCCCTAGCTGACCGGCGTGGTGAGGCGCGGTGGTGAGGCTCGGTGGTGGTGAGGCTCGGTGGTGGTGAGGCACGGTGGTGAGGCACGGTGGTGGTGAGGCACGGTGGTGGTGAGGCACGGTGGTGGTGAGGCACGGTGGTGAGGTGATAAACAAAAAAAACAATCGCCCACGCTGCCTGCGGAGGTTCTCGTCCAGCATCGCAGTGACGAGATGGCAGTTATAGGTGAACACACACACACACTACACACACACATACACACACACACCACACACACACACCACACACACACCTCACACACATACACACACCTCACACACACATACACACATACACACACCTCACACACACCTCACACACACACATACCTACACACACACACATACACACCACACACACACACCTCACACACACACCTCACACACACACCACACACACACACCTCACACACACACCTCACACACACACCACACACACATACACACCACACACACATACACACCATACACACCACACACACCACACACACCACACACACATACACACCACACACACATACACACCACACACACACCACACACACATATACACCACACACACATACACACACACAACACACACACACCACACACCACACACACACACCAAACACACACACCACAAACAAACACATACACCACACACACCACACACACACACCACACACACCACACACACACACACCACACACACATACACACCACACACACATACACACACACACCTCACACACACCACACACACCTCACACACACACCACACACCTCACACACACACACCTCACACCACACACACCTCACACACACACACCTCACACCACACACACCTCACACACACACACCACACACACACACCACATACACACACACCACACACACAAACACCACACACACACCACACACACACCACACACCTCACCGCCCTGCCCTCGCAGCTGCCCCCCACTCACCCTGTGCCCCATCCGCCTCACCCCGTACACCCCCCCCTCACTCCGTACCCCCCTCACTCCGTGCCCCCCCTCACTCCGTGCCCCCCCTCACTCCGTGCGCCCCCTCACTCCGTGCGCCCCCTCACTCCGTGCCCCCCTCACTCCGTGCGCCCCCTCACTCCGTGCCCCCCCTCACTCCGTGCCCCCCCGCACTCCGTGCCCCCCCTCACTCCGTGCCCCCCCCTGTCCCCAGACGGTGCTGGAGTGCCACCTGTCACAGGACACGCGCTTCCACCGCGCCACCCCAACCTTCCTGCAGTGGCGCAGCGAGGGCCGCGTGTTCGGCCTGAGCTTCACGAGCGAGGACGACGCCAACCTCTTCACCAACGCCATGACGTGGGGGGCCGAGGCGCTCTCGGTGGGGGGTGCGGGAGGTACGGGGGGGGGGGGTGGGGGGGGGCCTCGTAGGAAGAGGGAGGGTGGCCTGGAGGCACCTGTGTGTGTATCTCTGTGTCTGTAGTTGTACGTGAGTGTGTGTGTGCCTTTGGGGGTGCATGGGGTGGGTGTGACCAGTACAGAAGCACGCGGGGGGGGGGGGCACCTGTACACGGGGTGCGACGCACAACAGATTTGTGTCACAGGTGAGGTTATGTGCACCCCCCCCCCCACCCCCCACCTGTTGTGCTCCCTCTCCCACTGTTTACTGGGTCATAGAATCAGGGGTGACACTTGGGAAGTGTTGAGGTTGAGTCTTAAGGATTGATATGGGGGGGGGGGGGCACCACGTACATTGCATTGGGAGGAGGGGTGGCACGTGTAGCCACGTGTGTGTGTGTGTGTTTGTGTCTGTGTGTGTGTGTGTCTGTGTGTGTGGCCGTGTGCGGTGACTTCAATGCCCGAGTTGGTCATGATGCTGGCACCTGGTCTGGAGTGATTGGAAGGCATGGGCCAGATGAGCTCAATAACAACGGTAGGAGGCTGCTAGCTTTTTGTGCAGCCCATGGGCTCGTATTTACCAACATGCTGTTCCGGCATCGGCACATCCACACAACATCATGGATGCATGCCGGGTCTAAGCAGGAACATCTGCTGGGCTACATAGTAACGGGCCAGCGGATGCGAGCCCATGTCCTTGACACCAGGACCTTCCGTGGAGCTGATCTGCCCTCTGACCATCGACTAGTCATCTGTAAGATGCGTCTGCCATTCTTTCACTCTGGTGGTGAGTGTACACCCAGGACCACATTCCAACCTAAGGTGGCCTGGTCTCAACTAGCTGATGAAAGTTGCAAGCCAGAATTTCATCATCGCTTGCGGCTGGGGTTGGCATCGTCCCCCACTCCTCCTGATGTCGAGGGTAAATGGGCGAGGTTTAGGACTGTGACTCATGCAGCTGCAATGGCTGCTTTGGGTACGCGGTCCAGACCTCCCCAGAGACCCTGGCTGACAGAGGAGGTGTTCAGGATGGTTGAGAAAAAGCGACTGGCCCACTCTAATCGTCTACAGCATCCCACATCAGAGAATGAGGAGGCTTACAGCAGCCTTCGCTCGGAGGTTCGGAGAGCCGTGAGGCGCTGCAAGGATGGATGGTGGTCGCGGGTTGCTGAGGAAATGGAGTCTGCCTCAGTGGCCTGCGATCACAAATCCCTATTTAACTCCATAAAAAAGCAACCTGCAGCGCCACACCTATTACCATCATTAGGGGAAAAAACGGTGATCCAATATCCGACCCCCAGGAACAGGTTTGCACATTTGCTGAGCATTTCTGTGAGGTCCTGGGGGAGGGGAAATCCCTCAGCCAGGAAAACATCGTGGCACAAAGTGGGGATGACCCTGCTGAGGCTGCGGTGCCTCAAATATTGGAAGAAGAAGTCACCCCCTGTGAGTGGCTGGCTGAGGTGCCATCTATTTAGGAAGTACTGAAGGCGATCCAGAGTCTGAGACCAGGAAAGGCACCGGGCAGAAATTATCTTCCAAGCGAAATGCTGAGGGAGGGTGGTGTTTGTGCACAGACTGCCCTGCATGACATCATAACAACAGTCTGGACCACTGGATGGGTTCCGCAGGATTGGAAGGATGCCCTGGTGGTCCCCCTCTTTAAGAAGGGGACCGCACAGACTGTAACAACCACAGGGGCATCTCACTCAGTGTGCCGAGAAAGGTCCTGGCAAGGATTATTCAACATCGCCTTGCTCGGCACGCTGAGGAGAGGCTTGCGGAGCCCCAATGCGGTTTCAGGAAAGGGCGGTCCTGCCATATTTTCTGTCCGTCTGCTACAGCAGAGGTGTAGGGAATTCCAACATGACCTACATCTCTGCTTTATTGACCTGGTCAAGGCCTATGATGCCATCAGTAGGCCTGGGCTCTAGGTTGTTCTTCATGCTTTCGGAGTCCCTAACCCTCTGCTCACGATCATTAATGACCTTCATGATAGTGAGCGGGCCCGGGTAAAACTACGTGGCTGGGAGTCAGAGCCATTCCCTGTACACCTTGGGGTGCGACAGGGATGTCCTCTGGCTCCCACATTATTTAACATATATTTTGACCATGTAGTTCATGAAGCCTTCAATAGCTGTACCGGGGGAATCGCCATCTGGTACAGATATAATGGGAGGCTGATCGATGCCCGGGTGCGGTCAAGGGATGGCTCCCTATTGCTCAACCACTATGTATGCCGATGATTTGGTAATAGCTGCTCATTCAGAGGAGGAGTTGGAGACGCTGCTGCTGAAACTGGAGCGTGCCACTAAGAGGTGGGGCCCTACCATCAGCCCCACCAAAACTAAGCACCTGCCTGGGTATTTTGTACCATCAGACACTCCACGCCCACAATTCCCAATCGGCGATGGGGCAGTTGTGGAGAGAGTGGATAGTCTCCCATATCTGGGCAGTGTGCTCATGACCGGCTCCGGTTTAACAGCAGAGGTCTCACTCCGAATCACTCGAGCGGCAATATCTTTTCATCAGTTGTGTAACGCTGTGTGCAAGCTACCTGGTCTGTCGCTCCGCACGAAGCTTCAGGTCTTCTCGGCCACGGTCATTCCCTCCCTTCTCTACGCTTGCGAAACGTGGACCCCCCTAATGGAGCATCTTCGCCGGTTAGAAACATTTAGGCTAGCCTGCCTACGATCCATCCTGGGTTTAACCAGGCTGGATTGTGTGAGGAGCTCACAAATCCTTGAAAGATCTGGGCAAAGTCCCATCGGTGAGCTCCTCCGGCAGGCAAGGCTGCGTTGGCTGGGTCATGTAGCCCGCATGCCCAGCCACCGTATGCCTAAACAGCTTTTGTTCGGCCGGACAGAGGGGGCTAAACGGGCGCGGCACGGGCTAGAGAAGAGATGGAGTGATGTGGTACAGGAGGACGTGGAGCTGAGTGGACTTGCCGATGACTGGTACCAGCGGTGTCAAGATCGGCCTCTGTGGAGGAGGCTCGTGAAGGATGCTACTGGGCAGTTGGAGGCAGTCGCCCTCCAGCAACAACGGAGGGCGGAGGAGTGACGCTCACAACAACGAGCGGAGCGCCGGGTGGCTAAAGCACAGCAGGTTGGCACAGTAGGGGGCACAGGTGGGGCATCAGCCGGCCATCTCGGTCATCTCAGTCAGTCCACCCGTGGCACCTGCTGGGTCTGCCCCGTGACCTCCTGCCAGCGGGCTTTCGACACTTCACGTGGCCTCAAGGTGCACATGGCCTGGCACAAGCGTCGTGGTGACGTCACCACCACTTAGTGGCGAATGGCGGTTGTTGTTGTGTGCGGTGGGGAGCATTGCCGCAGTGGTAAGCGTGCGAAGCCACGAACCCGGGGACCCAGGTTCGATTCCCGCTCACGGCCAACACCAGTGATGATTGTCTGAACCGGTCCTGGGCCTCCCACGTGTGTAAACATTGCCACTAGGGAGGCGAAGGCGGCCGGGCGTTGTGCTGGCCCACCCACCCCCTCTTGTACAATTCCGGCCTTCATAGGTGCTCGCTAACAGTCCTTGCCCCTACAATCTGTTAAGGCTATATGGTGGATCGTTGTCTTTATCTTGTGCATGTGTGTGTGTGAATGTCGTTGTTTCCAGAACTGAAGTTCAGTTAGCAATGACCGGGTCATCAACCTGGAAAATATTTCCAGCCCCGCACAAACCACATCCAGGCTACCTCTCTCTCGCTATGGGCTGTGGCTACGACTGCTACTGCAGTTTACCAGGGACTCGGAAAAAGTTTCGTTTTTAAGCCCTGGATTGTATACGTCCGTGTGTGAACGTGTGTGTGTGTGGCCACCCACCCCCCTCATGTGCTGTGCCGGTCTTGATAGGTGCTCACTAACAAAACTTGCCCCAAGATTCTACTCTGTGGAGGATCTTTGTCCTTGTGTGTTATATCCAAGTCAGTCAAGCGGCATTATCTTTTCATCAGCTGTGCAACGTTGTGTGGAAGCTTCCTGGTCTGTCGCTCCAAACAAAGGTTTGAGTCTACTCAGCCATAGTTCTGACCTCCTCTATGCTTGCAAAACGTGGACCGTTCTAATGGAACATCTGCGTCGGTTTGAAAAACGTAGGCTGGCCTGCCTACTGATCCATTCTGGGTTTCACCAGGCTGGATTGTGTGAGGAGCTCGCAGATCCCTGAAAGATTTGGACACAGTCGTATCGGTGAGCTGCTCTGGTAGGCAAGGCTGGGTCATGTAGCCCACATGCCCAGCCACTGCATGCCCAAGAAGCTTCTATTTGTTTAGATGGAGGTGTTCGAAATGTGTATGGCACAGGCTAGAGAAGAGATGGGCTGATGTGGTACAGAAGGATGTTTGGCTGAGTGGACTTGCTGAAAACTGGTCCCAGTGGTGCCAGGAGGAGACTCATGAAGGATGCTATTGGGCAGTTGGAGGCAGTCGCCCTCCAACGACAACAGAGGGCAAAAAAGTGACCCTCGCATCAACGAGCGGAGCGCCGGGTGGGTAAAACGCAGCAAGTTGGCACAGTAGGGGATATGGTCATCTCAGTCAACCCATGGCACCTGGGTCTGTACCGTGACCCCCTGACAGCAGCAAGCCTTCCACACTTCATGTGATGGCCCCAAAGTGCACCTAGCCTGGCACCAGCGGTGTGGTACCGTCACTGTCACTAAGTGGCGAATGGCAGTGGTGTGTGTACACACGTGTGCACGTGTGTGTGTCGCATACGCGTGTGTACGCAGTTGTACCGGCGTATGTTTGTGTAGTTAAACGCACGTGGGTGTAGGGGAAGCGGGATTCCGTTCTGTGGTGATGGGAGGAAATCTGCAGTAGCTGCGCGGGTTATAGTACCCGCGCGTGCTCGGTGCATGCGTGCGTGCGTGACACTGTGCATATGTGGGACTTGCGGTGCGCTAGTCGGCAGACTGCACAACAAAGAACGAACGCAGCCACCCAAGTTGGATTCCCCACCACGGTCAACATCAGTGACGAGTGACCAGTCCTGGGCCTCGCCCACATCAGCTCAACCTTAAATGAATACCTGGTGCGATGTGTAAACAAAGCCGATAGGGCGTGGTGCTGGTCACACCAACCACCTCGTGCGCCGTGCCAGCCTTCATAGGTGCTGGTTAACAACAGCACTTGCTTCAACAGCTTGTGTAGACTATACGGGGGAACTTTGTCTGTACACGCGCGTGTGGACTGGCGTACGCGCGTGTGGACTGGTGTACACGTGTGTGTGCATGATCATCTCAGGAGGAGGACCTCCAAAAAGCCCGGATCGGGATGAGGCCGAGTCGGGCGGCGACAGGTGCGTACGTGTGTGTATGTATGTACGTGTGTGTATGTGTACCTGTGTGTGCGTGTGGTCTTAATTGGGGTGGAGCGGTAATGTAGCGGGTTAGCATGCTGCGCTACGAACCCGGCGACCCGAGTTCGATTCCCGCTCACGGCCAACACCGGTGACTATTATCTGAATCGGTCCTGGTTCGATTCAGATAATCGAATGCCTGGTGTGGTGTGTAAACATCATCACCAGGGAGACAAAGGCGGCCTGACGTGGTGTTGGTCACTCACCCCCTCGCGTACCATTCCGGCCTTAATAGGCTCTCGCTAACAGCACTTTCCCCCACAGTCTGTTAAAGCTATCAGGGGGATCTTTGTTATTGTACGTCTCAAGTGGTGGATAAGTATGACGTTATTGATGCGTTGTTCTGCCATGCCGGCACTTCTCAGTGCACCAAACTTGCCGAGCAGCACTGTTCTGAATGGTTCCTATTTCTGCACTATGATGTTTCCACAGAGGGGCAATGGTGGTGAGTGTGCAATGAGTGTGTGCGTGTCTGTGTAGTGTAGCGGTTAGCGCGTTGCACTACAAACCCGGCGGCCCGGGTTCAATTTCTGCTCAAAGTCAACACCGGTGATGATTATCTGAACCGGTCTTGGGCCTCTCCTAGGTCGACTCGGCCACAAATGAGTACCTAGTGCGATATGTTAACATCGCACTAGTTACTAGGGAGACAAAGGTGGCCGGGTGTTCTGGCCACCCACCACCCCGTGTGCCGTGCCGGCCTTCATAGGTGCTCGCTAACAGCACTTGTCCCAACAGTCTGGGTTAATATCCTTTGGGTCTTTCGGTAAAGTCACGGGGGATCTTTGTGTTTTTTTTGTCTATGGAAGCTCCTCCAGGAGGCGAGGCTGTGTTGGCTGGGACATGTAGCCTACATGTGCAGACATCCCAAGTACAAGCAGCTTCTGTTTGGCCGGATAGAGGAACTTAATGGGTACGGCACGGGCTAGAGAAGAGATGGACTGATGCGGTACAGAAGGATGTGAGCTAATTGTACTTGCCGATGATTGGTACTAGCGATGTCAAGATCAGCCTTTGTGGAGGAGGCTTGTGAAGGATGCTTCCGGGCATTTGGAGGAAGTTTCCCTCCAACAGGAGGGTAGAGAAGCGACAAAGGTGGCCGGGCGTTGTGCTGGCCACCCTTGTGTTCCATTCCGGCCTTAATAGGCTATATGGGAATCTTTGTCTTTGTGTGTGTATCTGTCTCCATGTGTCTGCATCTCAGCTTGTACGAGTCCCTAGACTTGTACCAGGACATGGACAAGAGTTTCCACGGTAACACCTCCTCACGACCACCTTCCCTTCTCGATTCCCGTTGACATCTCTCCTTGCCTTACCTCTCATTTCCCCCGTGTCACTTCCTTCTCCACCTGTCCCCTGCCCTAATCTCACTTCCCCTCTCTTACCTCATCTCGCATTTCCTGTCTCACATATTCCCTCCCTTTAATTTCACCTCTTCTCTCACCTCATCTCTATCCTCTCATCTGTCTGCTTCCCATCTCCCCTATTTTCTCACCATCTCTCCTCTTTCCTAATCCCTCCTCACCTCCTCTTCTCATCTCGCTCGTTCATAACATTCGTCCCTCATCTCTCCTTTCCCTCCCCATCATCCCTCTCCTCGTCCTCAACCTCGTTGCAGTGTCCCCTCGTCAGTCTCACCGTCCGTGTTTAGGTTTCAGTGACGGGGGGACTTAAAGGGGGGGGGGTGGAGGCGGGGCAGGGTGGGGGGACTCGAGTGAGGGATCGGAGGGGGTTCACGGGACCCCTGTTTGTTCCCACTTCAGGACGAAACGGGGCCTCCACTTTGGCCCACACTGCAGCCCCAGTGTGTGGAACGGGACCCCAGGGTGCGAGGTCCACGAGTGAGGGGACCCAAGGTGGGGCCCCGCCACCCCCGCCCCCTCCCCCACCGCCGCCCCCCGCGGGAGGAAGCGCGGCCCCAAGGCCCCCTGCATTCGGGGCCTCGATCGCAGGGGTCCAACTCAAGAAAGTCCAGCCGGTAACCAACAACAACAATCGCAACAACCATGACACAATCGACAACAACAATGCTACAACAAGAAACAACAACATAAACACAACAACAACACAGCACCGATAACATACTCCAACAATAACCAAACAATGCCACGAACACTGTAAGGCAGGGACACCGAGCAACGCTTAATTTAGCCGCCACCTGCCCGGTTCAACGACCCAGGAAATATATAAACAGCGTCAAAACGCAACCGCATCATGCGAGTGAGTGGCATTGAGGGTGGGGGGTGGGGAAGTGCGGGGAGAAGAAAAGCGGAAGTGGAGGACGAGGAGGTTGGGGGTTGGTGGAGTCAGGGGGCCAAGGCGCGGACAAAGCAACCAAGGCCCAACGAGTCCCAGAAGAGTCAGTGGGCGGCCGGGGTGAGGGTTGCTGCCGCCTGCCTCTGGGTTTGCCCCGGACAGTGCGGGTGCTGGCGTCTGTGCTTTGGATGGCAGAAATTGGTTTGTGCCGAGTTCCCGTGGCCGTTGTTGCTGCGTTGAACTTCGGTCGGCCCGCAGTGGACCTAGGCTGACTTGAGAAATGTGTCTGGGGGTTGGCCTGCGAGAAAGGGGTCCACGCATCCCCCCCAGCGCCTCTCCCAGGGCGTCTCCCAGGGCAAGCTCGGGAGGGTCCCCAGGGCCCCACACCGCTTGTGGGACTGGGCCGCGCGGGAGCCAACGTCCATGCGGAGGGATTGGGCAACAACCGTGGACACGTCGGGAACGGACCGATTCGTTGCGATTTGTTTTATTCAATAAACAAACATTGCGTTTGAATTAGAGACATTGATATTTGCCGTAAATAATGGCTTGTTCATTGAGACCTTTCGGTGAACATCGATGATTTATCAAACACATCGAGCGTTCGATACGTCGATGGCCCTCAGTACATGTCCAAACCCTCGACTCGAGCTTGTGAAAGGCTCCCTTGGTATGGACAGGTGGATTACACCTGTAACCCCCCCTCCCCTGGGTACCCCCCCCCCCCAAGACTGAGGAGTCGGGGCCTGGAGGAGGAGGGGGCAGCCGGGGGCCCTCAGGAGGAGGAGGAGGCTCTGGGGGGGGCCTAATGGATGAGATGAGTGCCATGCTGGCCCGGAGGTGGGGTCCCTCGTCAACATCATCATCAATAATCACCATGCATCACCATCATCATCTCCGCCACCACTACCATCACGATCCCCGTCACCATCACTTCTGCCGCCTTCATCATGATCACAACCATCATCCTGACGACCGTCGCTGCTGTCGACGTCATCACGATCGTCAACACCATCGTTATACGGCATGCGGCTTGCACGACAAGAATAACAATCGGAGCCTTCCTGCCTCCACACACCTCATCACCATCATCGACACCCCCCTCCTCCCACCGTGTGTCCCCGCAGGAGAAAGACCTCTCAGGGGGTTCTCTCAGCAGCGACGGGGACCCCAGGCACCCCAGACCCAGCACCGGGACCCGTGAGTGTCTCCAGGTTCAACTATGATGGTGTACCACTGATGGTGTGATGATGTGATGGTGTGTCACTGTGGTGGTTCATGGTGTGATGGCGTACGGCTGATGGTGTGTGATTGTGATGGTGTGTCACTGTGATTGTGTGATGATGTGATGGTGTATCACTGTGGTGGTGGGTCTCTCTGTGTAGGAGGAGGCTCCGGCTGCGTTCGCTGGTCCCAAGAAAGACACGAGGCCTCTTGGTGTGTCACCATAGCGACCGCATCATCTCAGCTCTAGACTCTTCCAGATCATCAGGGGCAGGGAACCTGACACATGAGGCCTACCACTTAGAAATGGCCCATAGACGATGCTTATCAGTCACTGCAAGTAGCACCTTAGCTGCACTAATCGAGCACTAAAGGGGTGCGCATGTTTTCAACCTGGCAACAACCGACACACCTGATGAACGACCGTTTGTGTTATGGTCGAAACGTCGTGAGAATTTTTATTGTTTTATATATATTTTATTATTTTATTGTTTCCCTTCAACGTGACTTTACCGAAAGAACTAAGAATATGAATTACTGCAGTCACGAAAGCTTTAAATCAAAATTTAACAAGGGGGTGTGTATTGGGTATTGGTGTGTGTGTGTGACGTGCGTGAACCGAGTGTTTGTTGGGTGTTGTTGTTGGTGAGTGTGTGGGGGGGGTGTCGTTGGGCATCTGTTGCTGGCAGTGTACCGCTCTCTCTCCCCGTGTCTGCCCGCAGAGAGCCCCAAGAAGGCGCCATGGGCCAGCGGGAAGCCGCTCAGTCGATCACAGTCCAAGTGCGTCCCTTCATGTCTGCCTTCTCCTCCCCCTCCCCATCGTCATGCGTCATCTCCATCCAACTGTTCGTCCATCTGTCGATTGATACGGCGTCTATCAGTCGGGTCCATCTGTCCATTGATTTGTCTGTTCCTGTGTATGTCGATTCATTTCTCCGTCCATTTTACTGTTTATCTGTGCGATCATCTGTCCACACGTCCGTCCATCCGTCCACGTGTGCGTTGTGTACGTCCCCTGTCCCCCTATCCCCGTCAGGCTGGAGATGGGCCATGAGGCCATGGGAAAGGAACGCGGTCCCTCCCTCAACTCCTCCAGCAGCCTGAGCAGGTGCCTACGTCTCGTAATCTGTCTCCCTGTCCATCTGTCCGTATGCCTCTCCACATCTGTTCGTCGGTCCGTCCACCAGTGGTCCATCCGTGAATCTGCCTGTCTGTCCATTCGCCGGCAAAGTGCGTCCACATGTCTCTCCACCAACCGCCCGCTCCTCCTCCTCCGTCTCTGCAGGCTGGAGATGAGCCGCGGGGCCGAGAAGAAGCAGCCGGATGCTGCGCTCAACTCCTTGCGCAGCCTGAGCAGGTGCGGATGCAGGGACACCGCTATTGGGGGAGGGGGCAGGGGGACTGGCCTGGGTCCTGAGCCACCAAATATCCCTGTGGCTCCCCCCACCTCGCCCCACTCACTGTCCACTCACCCCCCCACCCCCTCCCGCCTCCCTCCACCACCAGGACCAAGTCTTGTGTCGGGTCTCTGACGCTGCACGCCGTGCCGGATGGCGGCCCCTCGCAGAACCTCAAAGAGGTTCGTGCCCCTCCCCCCCCCCCCCCCCCCCACTTACATATGGTCTTGTCGCAGCGAATTTGAGTTTTTGCACCGAATTTGAATTTTCGCGCAAAAAAGGTTCCTAGCACCGACTCGCCCGCCAAGGCCTCTGGGTCTGTGGCCTCAAGGTTTTGGGGCCTCTTTGTGTGGTGGTGCTATTTTGAGGCAGGGGTTGGTGGATCACATGAGAGATTTGTGAAACTCCCAAAGCCTACCGCCGAGCTGCAATGTGTCCGGATGTCGGTAAGGCAGATAAATTATTGAATCTAGCTGTACGGAGCATGGAGTGTTCATGTCGAGGTTTGCTTTGGGTTCCTCCCACGCGAAGCCAAGCTCTTTGGTTATAGAATTTGTGGCTCAACAGCCCGATGTAGCAGGACACCGCCTGAAGCTGAGCGTGCAAGTTCTACGGCGACAGAATGAGCGATTTGAGCACGATACTGGCAATGGCGGAGCCAGGATTTTCAGGTAGGAGGGGCAACCCCTCCAGCAATGAAAAATGTTAGGGGTTGTTAGTAAGTAAGGACTTGTCCCTTGCTTTTTATTTGACGTGTGTGCGGCGATGGCGCAGCCATCGATCGAGGGTCGAATTCGAACCGCGAATGTGTGATCGGCATCGTGCTCACTGCATATACATCATCTCATAGAGTCCCTGGCACGTATTAATATGCTACAGAGTGGCAGGCAGTGGGGGTCGCAAAATGCCGATTTATTACTAATAAACCCCAATGATCCGATCGAAAATTATGGATTTCGATCGGATCATTGGGGGGCACGTGAAACCCACCCCCCCCACTGGCTCCGCCAGTGGATACAGGAGGGTTAGTCCAGGTCAGATAGGGAGAATTTGAGGATGATATCAAAACCACATGCTCACCCAGAACATCCTAACTGTGAGACTCAAGGCTATTTCAGGAGGGTCCTGCCATGTCCTTGCGCTCAGGAGCAATGCTGTTGCTGTGTGGGAAGTCCTAATCGATAAATTGGCAGGTCAGGTTTCAGCAATTGGGACGTTTGGCCAACACGGTCACATTTCGTGGTGGGTTTACCTTCGAGAGGAAAGTTGGGGAACATACAGACTCCCTAGTCGGGGAATTGAACCCAGGCACTTCTTGCTGTGAGGCACAGGCGTTACCACCGCGCCGCCACCGTCTTGGTGTTCATGGCGCCACTAGTGGGTGCTCGCGGAGCGGACGGGCGTCGTAACGGTGGCTGTGTGGTGCGCGCGGTGCCTTAGGAGATCCTGGCCGGCGTGCGGCTGGAGCTGCACCAGGTGAAGGAGGAGATCCTGGCCGGTGAGACCCGATGTTGGTAGAGGGGAGGGGGGGGGTCTCTAATGTTAGAGGGCTGTGAAGGTTCCTGTGCACAGGGCCCCCAATTTCTTCAGGTGCCTGCAACCTTGTGCCGTGTCTCTGCGCATCCCCATTTCTCTGCATCTCTGTGTATTTCTGTCTTTGTGTCTCCGTCTGTATCCTCTCCATTTTACTTTCTCTAGATCTGTTGCTCAGCGTCTCTCGGTGTCTCTGTCTCCGTGTCTCTCTCTCCGTGTATCTCTCCACGTCTTTGTCTCGCAGTCTCTCGCTCCGTGTCTCCATTCCCCCCCCCCTCCCTGTGCACACGGCCGCCGTGTTCGTAGCAGTCAAATCTCCGTGCACGGGGCCACAATTGCACGGCCCAGGAGACACCGGGATCCGCATGGCTCAGTCTCCCCCCTGGTGGCAACATTCACGTCCCGGCTCGTTAAGCGCCATCGCCCATTAGTGTTCCTCACTGACAATAGGCAAGGGATCGGAGAGCCCCCGAGTAGACCCTGACCTATCCCCCGTCCACTCTCCCTGCCCCCCCCTTCACCTCCCCCCCCCCCCCCTTCACCTCCCCCCTCCTTCCCCAGCCGTGCGCCAGGAGCTCACGCGGTTCAGCAAAGCCTAGCGGTGGCAGCAGCAATAGCCGAGGATTGGGGCCGGGCCCCACCCCCCGGGCACCTCCGGCCACGCACTGCGACGGTTGCAACCGCGCTTCCCCCGCCCTTGCCGAGCACCGCGTGTGAAGTCGGGAACCCACGATGGACGCGGTCACACTGTGTTTGAGTTGACTCGCACACTCACGGTTGCACTCATTCACTCGCTCACAGTCGCACGCCTCCCAACTCGCTTAGACGCCTTGCTGTTGACTCCTCAGGTGTGATGACGTGAGATGCAACGAACGCGTCATTAGCGCCTCGTTTTCCCTGGCCCTGCTTTGCCCCCAGCCAGATTCAGACGTTTTCTTGCGAGGCCAGCAGTAGCACTGTTTGGTTTCCGGCTCGGCACGGCAAATAGCCGCTGGAAAACCACCCATACCCGCGCTGGCTCTGCTCAGATGTGGCAGTGGAAAAGGGGGTACGGTACGTCATGTCCATGACCATTGGGAACTGTTGTCTGTGGCCCAGTATCGGCCCAGAAACAGTCACCAGGGTCCGGGTCCTCATCCCCACGCTATATAGACTCGCTTCCTCTCGCTCCATCCCACACCTCCCCGTCCTCGCCATTCTCCGTGGCTTCATGCAAGGGTCAGGGTTGGAGTCCGGCGACGGCTGGAATTGGTTGTTGGCCTGCCCCTGTGTGGTACACAGCTCCACCATAGATATTAAAAATAAAATGTAAAATAATTTACGACGAAAAATACAACTAAGCATGGAGCTGTGCGCAGTCAGTATTACGATTCATAATTGCGTTTTGGTTCGGGCCCCGTAAAATCTGTCGCAAGACCCTCTACTGCTTGACGCAGCCAAACAAAATCAGTTGTTGCATACACGCGTTTGACGATGCCAGTTATTGTTTTCAGCTCGCTCACCGGATAAAGTTGGAGAACGATTCTCGCAACCAACATTTATGGATTAGACGACTTCCTGGGTTTTGCTCTGACTTCATGGACCTTTCGAATGGAACATCGCGGCATATCTAATCGCTGAATCTGGTTGTGATAATTGCTCACTAACTTCACCGGTGAGCAAAACATTTATAATTACGTATGAGCGTTAAACGCTCGCACGCGTGACAATTTTACTGTTGGGTGGTGGGTCTTACAGCAGAAATGTAACCGGATTGTTATGTGACCTAACCCAAATATAAATTATAAAATATATATAACTTTATTGATATTGCCATTTTAATATGGGGACAATATATATAAAAAAACATTACCCTTTATTAAATGGGTGGCAGGGTGGCGAAGCGATAACGCTGCATTCCAGTCGTGGTGGTTGAAACGGGGCCATGGGAGTTTCGCTTCTGACACACCTCGGCTCGCACCCCCCTGCTTGCACAGCCCATAATACCCCAGCCTATACACACTCGTCCATCAATCCTAGCCCATCAACCCTAGCCCATACATCATAGACCATCAATCCCAACCCATCACCTGGGCTCGATTAACGCAGGGGCTTAACGTGCTGCAGCCTGTGTCTTAGGAATGACAAGTCCCCCTTTATTGTGAAATGTGTATTGATTTATAATGGTTACAACGCAATACTGGAGCACTATGGCACGTCCTGCGGGTAGTTTGGGAGTGAAAGCCATCGCATCGCTGTGTGTATTACTAGCAGCCTTGTGCCGAAATTAAAATAGTTATTTTTAACTTTGATTCAGCCTTTAAATCTTGCATCGCGTTTTAAAAAAAAAAGGCAAGATGAAATTGCCAAACAATCGAGCATTTGGCTTCATTGGGCAAGGGTGGTGGTGAAATGGTTAAGGGAAGGAATTGAATATACAAAGAGGACACCCCCCCCCCCCCCCCCCCCCCAAAGTATACCCATCCTGGGCCTCTCATTGAGCCCACCACTCCTAGATCAGCTCTCGCCACTCCATTATTAGGCTGGCCCATTGCTGTCAACCCAGTCCATCACTGTTATTGAAGCCCATACATCCTATCCCATTGGTACCTCGTCCATCATCCATTCACCATAATGCAGGGTTCTTCATTGCAAGTCCCGCAGGCCACTAGCGTTCCCCGGTGGCCTTTAGTGCGGCCTCTGACGTGCGCCCCCCCCCCCGACAAGACAGAGTGACAACATCCCACATGGTCATCGTCGTGATGCCGTCAAACCCCCCAATGGTTTCAAATGTGTGGCGGCCCTCGCACTGACGATGTCTTATCGGCAAAAGTGCCCCCCCCTCTGAAAATTAGTGAAGAACACTGCCATAATCCATCTCCCCTAGCCCAACCTGTCACCCCCATGACATGTAACAATCGCCTCCACACCCTGGATAAGATGTGCACACTCTGCGGACATGTGTGTAGACATGTGTGTGCGTGTGTATATAGGTATATATATATACACACACAGGTGTGTACATTGATGTGTGTGTGTATATATATAGGTGTGTGGACAGGTGCGTACAGGTGTATACGCACGGTGTGCAGACCTGTGTGTGTGCGTGTGTGTAAAGGTGTGCTGGGGCTGTCGGGTGTGTGGGGGACAGATGGCAGCTGCTGCCCTGCCCGGTTCTCCGTTGCGCTCAGAGCTCCACGGCGGTGGATGCCACCGCCACGGTTGTTGCAATATGAAGTCTTTATTTTCACCGCTCGGTAGCACTAGTAGTCGCAACAATGGCAATGTTAATAATTTGCAAAGCAATAACGTCGCTGCTAGCAACCACACGCGTGCACCGTCACTTTCCCCGGGGTCCTGGGAGTTTCGCCGGCCCACGGGGTTCAGAAAATCCCACGGTTCCTGGGGAGCTCGGCGGACCTGGGATTATTGTTGCCGCTGGACGGCAAAGTTCGGGTACCAGCGCCACCGTCGCCGCCGCGTCCTTGATCACTCCCCGCTCCCACCTTGACCCCCCCCCTGCTCCCACCTTGACCCCCCTCCCGCTCTCACCTTGACCCCCCCTGCTCCCACCTTGACCCCCCCTGCGCCCACCTTGACCCCCCCTGCTCCCACCTTGACCCCCCTGCTCCCACCTTGACCCCCCCCGCTCCCACCTTGACCCCCCTGCTCCCACCTTGACCCCCCCTGCTCCCACCTTGACCTCCCCCTGCTCCCACCTTGACCCCCCCCGCTCCCACCTTGACCCCCCCCCCCCCCGCTCCCCGCTGGCTACACCAGTGGCCGGCTTCGTGCGCACCGCATCGCTTCTTCTTTGCCGGTGGAGCTGCACCGCCGCACGTTCACGAAATAAAAGAGCGCAGGAACCCGCGCGGTTCGGGCGCAGCGTCTGTCTCGCCGCGGGTCTACGACGCGAGCATTCTCCGTTTTATATATATATAAAAATTTAAGCTTTTACTTTTAAACTCCCGTTTCATTTTACGTTTCGCCGGTCAGGTGTCATTTCATTCGGTCACCGCAGCGAAGTCGCTATGCAATGGCAACAACCACCGCATCGTGTGCTGTTCAGCGAAGCCTCCGAATTCGAGGTCACAATCGACTTACCCGCCTGATCTCTTTTTCCGATGTTATTTATATTTTGTATCTAATTCGTTTCGCCCCCCCCCCCTCCTCCTCCTCGTCGCTGAAGTGAACCCTGCATCACAGCCACTCTGGGCACTTCCTGCGTTTGAATTGTGAGGACTAAGAGACGCCTCTGACACTGATCTTTGTCCATTGCAATCGAATCGATCTCGTTTCCAATTTCACCTAAAAGACGCTTTGCTGGGCCAACAAGTGTTTAACATCTACAACTTAAGATGTGAACTCTTATTAGATGTCCACCTCTAGATACCACCTCCAATACCAAACTTATCTCCCCCCATATTCCTATCTCTGCCCTTTTCGTGTATTCTATGCATAATCTGTCCGATCCGACTCCCTGGAAGGGGAGGAATTTATTAATTGACGTTGATTTATGTTTGTGAAATATTTTCGATTGCTCACCCACGTGAGACTGTTATTTTCGTGCCGATTTCAATTCGCGTCATCCATGTCATTTGGGTTTTTTTTTTTCACTTGCGCGTCATTTTGGTGACCAAGATCCCATCCCCCTTTGCAATTGAGACCCATCCTGCCCACCTTGAGTGTTTGCCTGGTTAAACAAATCGCCTTGAAGGATGGAGCCGCTGATAAATAATGTCAAACCATTATTTATCAGTGCCCTACCTTATTACAGACCAATTCAGACCGTATTGCTCACCCCGTGCCCCTTATAAAGCTCAACGTTCATCCTACAAAGTCCCATCACAAGGGGAGAGAAACACAAACAAATAGACACATTGTGTTTGCCCGTATTGAACCGGCTGTACGCGCTATTGACCTGACAACTCAATTTCCCTGGACAAGAGTACACGGGGTCTACACCGTAGTACGCCTTGACTGGTGTCTTCGCCCAGCAGTGCAGTGACCATGGTCGATGACGCCGCATGCAAATTAGTGGGCGTGCACAAATAATTTGGGCGGGACCCAGAGTTCGGCATTCCGATTGGATCCGCGCGCTCGCGCATGCGCATTGAGGGCGTCGCGAGGCTGCTTCGCCTTTCCCGCCCAAAATACGGAACCGAGACGAGGGGTGGAGGAGGGCACGCGACGATGAGGGGGGAGGCGAAGAGAAGAGAAGGGAGAGCGGAGGCGAGACGAGGGGAAGACGAGGAGAGAAGAGGGACACACGCGGAGGCTCGGGGCTCCAACAGCATGCAAGTCGGCGCCGTCGCCCGCTCGGTGAGTGAATCCAAGATTCCCCCCCCCCCCCGTCGCCTCAACCCTGCCGAGAATCGGCTCCGCGGTGGGGGGGGTGTAACGGAGTGTGAGGAGTGACCGAGGGGAGCGACTCTGATGAGTGACTGTGAGGAGTGACTGAGGAGTGACTCGCTGGAGCGACGAGCGTGACTGGGGGGGTTGGGGGTGGGGGAGTGACAGTGGCAGGACTGAGGAGAGTGATAAAGGGTGGTGACTGAGGCGTGTGGCTGGGTCTGGGAGCGAGGCGGGTATAGCGGCTGAGTAAGCTGAGGAGAGTGATTTATGAAGATGAGTGACTGAGCATGAGGAGTGACTGGGGGAGTGATTTATGAAGATGAGTGATTGAGGATGAGGAGTGACTGGGGGAGTGATTTATGAAGATGAGTGATTGAGGATGAGGAGTGACTGGGGGAGTGATTTATGAAGATGAGTGACTGAGGATGATGAGTGACTGGGGGAGTGATTTATGAAGATGAGTGACTGAAGATGAGGAGTGACTGGGGGAGTGATTTATGAAGATGAGTGACTGAGGATGAGGAGTGACTGGGGGAGTGATTTATGAAGATGAGTGACTGGGGATGAGGAGTGACTGGGGGAGTGATTTATGAATATGAGTGACTGAGGATGAGGAGTGACTGGGGGAGTGATTTATGAAGATGAGTGACTGAGGATGATGAGTGACTGGGGGAGTGATTTATGAAGATAAGTGACTGAGGATGAGGAGTGACTGGGGGAGTGATTTATGAAGATGAGTGACTGAGGATGAGGAGTGACTGGGGGAGTGATTTATGAAGATGAGTGAGGATGAGGAGTGACTGGGGGAGTGATTTATGAAGATGAGTGACTGAGGATGAGGAGTGACTGGGGGAGTGATTTATGAAGATGAGTGACTGAGGATGATGAGTGACTGGGGGAGTGATTTATGAAGATGAGTGACTGAGGAGTGACTGGGGGAGTGATTTATGAAGATGAGTGACTGAGGATGAGGAGTGACGGGGGGGGGGGTGACCACGAGTATTGCCTTTCACACGCGACACCATTTTTGTTCCGTTGGTGGCAGCTGTTGGGAGCAGTTGACGTTGGCACAGCCCCGAATTGAACCCAGGGATTAATTACAGCCGGATTTTGTCCGTGTTTGTTGACCAAGGAAAACATTGTACGAACCCTGCACACCACATCCAGTATACCTACCCGACACGGCTGTCTGTGCTCGTGGGTCACTGGCACCTCTTGTTCCTAAGTCTTACGAGTGACCTTGAAAATGTTCTATTTTGGTGATAAAATAACACTGGATAGTAAATGAAGTGGGGTAGAAAATACGATGAGAAATAATTCCACATAAACTTTTAAAAGCCATCCAGGTTATCGCATGATACCAATGTTAAAGGGGACTTGTGAATTGCAAGAGGGAAACGAGGTTCAACTTATTTTGCAGCATCACGGATTAATGCACATGCCCTACACTATGTTATTAACTCTGGGCACCGCAAAAGGATTGTATGGTTCATATTAGCTTGCAGGGGTTTAAATCTGGTATACTCACACCAGTAACACTTCACAATTGTTCTTGGCATAGCATCACTTCCGTGCCTTAGTCAGAGCGCGCCCGAATGATATTCACATGTTCTTTCTCAATAGCAAAGCTTTATATCACGTGGGAAAACCCGTAAATAGTTGCTTATTTTAATTGCGTGCATCTTTTTAATCCTCCCCAATGCGTGTGCAATGTTGTGTCATCTGTATTGTCTTTGTTGCGTGTCTGCAGCCAGGGAGGCAGCGCCGGGTCACCACTGCCCGCTCTCCCGGCCGCTCAAAGGCTTCCCGCTCAGCTGTCTCTCCTGGCTCTCCTACCCGCTCTTCCAGCCGCCACAAGTCTTTACGCTCGTCTGGTTCTCCTGCCTCCTCTCATGCCCTCCCTCCGGGCCGCTCCAAGGCTTTAAAGTCTGCCGTCTCTCCTGGCTCTCCTGCTCGCTCTTCTGGAAGCCCCAAGTCCTCGCTCGCTCCTGGTTCCCCTGGTCGCTCAGCGCGCCCTCGTGGACGGCCCAGGTCCTCGCGCTCTCCCACAAAGCCAGCCGCCAGCCCTCCGGAGCCCCCTGGGCCCCCAAGCAACGTCAACCTGGAGAGCAGCCCTGACCGCACTGAGCCCCAGCCCAGTTCGGGAGATGCACCTGCACCACAGGTGTGTGTAGTAATGGTTGTACCTTGGTCTGGATGAGTGCTGTAAGCCTGTTTTGCTGTGTACTGTGGTTTAAAATATTCACAATATCCTGGCGGTTTGAAGAATTTTCACAATTTGGATTGCGATTCCATTTGTGGTAAACAGTTGCGCCACTCGTGGCCGAGGAGGAAATATTTAACGTCTCAAAATGTATATCTTTCTAAAGAAAGGTTCGAATATTTATCCTGGAGAAATCTGATGAGCTATGAAGCTCTTTTTCACAGATATCGAGTAGGTTATGTGAATCGATTACATGGCTCGGGTCAGAGTGCTTAGTTGGCATCTATGAGAGTCTGGGTTTGAATCCAGGCAGCCGCCCGTGATTAAACCGGCTACCAATAACTGCAAAAAATAAACTCCAGGTTAGGCTAAATTCCACTGCTGTTTGACAGTTATCTGGCAAACTTGTTTCTGTAGCAGGGTGGATGGAAAAGTGCTGCCTCTGACCGTGTGCTGTTCTCTAACACGAATGCTTACGCTGCCGTGTGAGCGATCCAAATGGTTTGTTGAACTTATTTCGCACTGTACATAGCTACCCATCCTAATCAGACGTGCTCATGTGTCTGCTGTGCACTCCCATGTTATGTGTTGCAGCGTGTCATGGCTGTGCGACATGCCACGCAGGCGGAGGGTCATGAGCAGATGCAAACCCCTGACATTGTGAAGAACTACAGCTTCCAACGACGCTGGGCGGCTGGTGCTCAGAGGGGACCCAGATGCGCACGCTGGGACTCCCTGTGTCTCCCACTCCTCTCCCCACACAAGCGTGCCGTCCCATGTCACCCCAAGAGAACGCCGCTCACCTCCCGTGGCCTGGCAGGTGAGTGCGCGGTAGTTGAGTAACGATTCACTTGCCTCACCCACCTGCTCGCCAATCCCTGCAATGTGATGAGTTGTCATGATTTGATCCAAGAATTGTTTATTTTTTATGCTTTCCAACCAAGGTTGAGGACGTTAATCCATAAACTCTCTCCATTGACCTGTAATGGAGGGCGACATGGAGATCAGTTTAAACCTACAGTATAAAGTTGTTGCAATTAAGGAACTAATATGTAAATAAATTTCACCCTGATGGCTACCACTCAGCTTCCATAATGCTATATCAATACTTCCTGAAAACTATTACATAATCAATACATATATAAAACATATTTTTGTATAATTTGTAAGGTCACATGTTTACTGATTCCTAATTCATATTTTGGGTTACATCAAATGTGTCGCATGACCTCCATCCGAAACAGCCAATTAATAAATTTGTTACGTGAACGTACCAATGTATTACTGCTTCAGCACACCAGTATGTTGGAGAGCAATCCACAACATTTAACAATTGGATACGACGTTTTGCTTGCGGTTACAACCAGCATCATCAGGCAATTTCCAATTCTGGGGTTACAGGTGCGGTGATGCTGCTGCTGGTGTGGCCAGCCGGTCTGCTGTGCCTGGCCCAGGTTGCCGGCTCCCCCAGCTGCAGCCTGCTGGGGCCCCTGTCCCGGTCACCCGGTGCTCCTGCCTGGACCCCAGCGCGGCTGTGGGACCCGCGTTGCCTTGTGGCATTGCTGGCGTGGATGGCTTTGCAGGTGCTGCTGTTTGTGCTGCCCATTGGCGGTGAGGTGAGAGATGCCTGCTCGTTGTCACAGCTGCTTGTAGTGAGGTTTTATTGCGATATAATTTTTCACAATACAACAGGACTTTTACCCGTGGGTCACACCCACTCCAAAGGGAGTCAGGTGGGAGGGCATAGGCTGACAATTTTGTATTGTGCATAACATACATGCGTAATGAACGTCAGTGCCACATTGCGGTGATAAAACATTACAAATTCCTTATGAGCACCACAATTACTCAAGGCGTAGACCTGTGACCTCTGAGGTCTTTAGCAACCTTAGTTGTTTTGGGGTCTCGGGCAGGGGCGCAAAGACCAACAGCATTGATTTTAATAATATATTTATTTACAACTTTAACTATTGCTTTAACACGTAGGTGTTTTGTATAATTTGTAATATTGACTTTATTTGATACTTTGGCAATGCATTTGCTTCCCTGACCCTGATGCAATATTTAGCATTCACGAATGTAATTATTATCATATAAATTTTGCGGGCGGTTCTGTAAATGCGGGGCCGCGATGTCACCTGGGCACCATGTCGTGTGCAGGTGGTGAAGGGAGCGCTGCAGAACAGCGGGGAGGTGCTTGCCTACAGAACCAACGGTGAGAAACTTGAGGCAGGGTGGGGTACAGTTGGGTCCAGAGCAGCCATCGCAGGTACTTATTTAGAAAAGAGTTTTCCCAAACAGCATTCCTCGTGGCCTGCCATGATACGTCTTTTCACATTTACCAATTGTGTCATACAAATTAGGTTATTACATGCTGCACATTCCTAATGATTGGTATACATTCCCCCATTTACTCACTGTCTTTCATTGGACCTGCAAATCTCACTCACAACCTTAAACAAGAAATCTCGATTTTATAAATTGTCTTATAGTTTTACAAACATTTGCAAAGTGATTGTTACCTTACATTTTCACCATCAGGTGCATAAAACTTGAAACGACTGAAGCATTATTTAAATAGATTAGCAAATGTAAAAAAAAAAACTTGCAGATGCAAGTCACGGGAATGAAGTGTGGAAACCCTGTTTTAGAACACAACAGTGACAGTTCATTGACACGTGGTCACTCCCTGTGGGCAGGGATGCTGGCGCTGTTGCTGACACTGGCTGCTATGGGAGGGGGCTGGTGGGCATTTGATCTGGACCCCACCTCGGCTCCCACCCTCCTCACTCCCTTGGCCACCGCCGCTGCCGGCGCCGCACTGCTGTTGGGCGTTGCGCTATACCTGGCTTCGCTTGGCAAAGACACCGCGGACCTGGCGCCGCTCGGGAACACAGGTGAGCGTTAGCACCTTGGGTTCCGCTCATTGGATGAAGCTGCGTCAGTGGTGAGGCTTGAAGAGCGAATGGCTTCTGTGCGAAATAAGCCATTGGTTGAAGTTGTGTGCTGCATAACATATAGCAGACATTTGATCTCCAATATGAATATGCGGACATCGAGATTGGTGAGTCAGCCAGTGGGCGGCTTGAGGGGTAGCCTGGTGAATATCAAAACACTGCTGGTGAATGATCGAAGCGGGCAGTGGCATTACGATGTAATTGCACTGTGGACTATTGTTTATTATACATTGCAGGAAATAACCACATCTGCTGTGAGTTTCTGATGTGATTCTGTACACACCATTACGAGTGGATCTTCTGTGGATTCAGCAATTAAGGACGTTGGTATTGTCCCAGATTTCTCTCCACTGCTTCAGCATTGAATGAAGGTGCTTTGAGAGCATGTGCACGATCCCAAAACGGGCTATAGGACTTAAATTGAGACTTTGTTGAAGTGGCTCAATGAGGTGCAGAAGCGCTGCTGCTAGGTGCAGTCATCTGTGCCTCAGAGAGGCTGCTGAGTTTCTCGCCAACAGCGCTTCCCTCAACGGGATATTTGTCTTTGTTAAGGTTTCTCCCCCAATCGTTATTTGACCTCATGCTGTTGACAGGAAACATGGCATATGACTTTGTTCTCGGCCGGGAGCTGAACCCACGCATGGGCGCCCTAAACGTCAAGCACTTCTGTGAGCTGCGTCTGGGCCTGCTGGGCTGGGTGAGTGGTGCCGGGGTGCATGTTAGTCTGCTGCAAGTGACAGCTGACGCTTTATGGGGGATTCGTGCCACGCCTTGAACAGGTCCCACGCTCTTCCCTACCTCAGATTATTGCTCCACAGAATTACTAACTTCATGTCCATGACCATGTTCATTGCTCTTCATGCATAGTCCAAATTTGCCAAATTCGAAAATGACTCACAAATTGTTTCATTGGGATACACACAAGAATCATCCCCTACTTGGCACACTATTGCCTGCTTGTGGGCCAGGTGTCGAGTCACCTTGTGCCACACGGACAACTGTCACTCGGGGTGCCCTTGCAAATGTTTGAGATGAGATGTTGGTTATTGCGTATAGAACATTCTTGAGAAACCTTTACGTAAATGGTGCTCGAACAAAAACACATGTGGTTGAGAGGAGCTGTTGTGAGTGTGGAGTGATGGTCTTTAGGCATGTAAGTAAAAATAAATTTGTATCAATGACTCGATGAACACATCTTGATCCTTAATCAATGTTAATCGATGCATCATTACAAAACTTGGAATGAGTCACTCGCTTGTCCCTGCTGGACTGTTTCGGTGCTGGTTTAGGTGGTGCTAGTGCTGGGCTTGGTGGCAGCGCAGACGCGGGATGCTGGCACCCCGTGCTCTGCACTCGCTCTCGTCGCAACCTTTCAGATCGTGTACGTCGCTGCTGCCCTGTGGAACGAGGTAACGCGTGACCTTCTGGTGAAGTATGGACGATTTTAGTTCCTACACTAGCAGTATGACTGGCCTCTGCAATCGGCAAGTCTGGGATGCTTAATATTTTATGCATTTATATTTATGCCTTTATTTATCTCATCAAATGAAATCTTCTGTTGCTGTAACTTTGCCAAAAGCATATCCTTGTCTGACTACCCGTTTAATGTGGATTTTTTTTTTAAAATCCCGTTTTTACTTAGGCCTTGGTTTGTGAAAATTATGATTTAAATCAATAAGCAGGACAATTTGTTTTGGTTTATAATCAACAGTCAACTGCTCTTACAGGATGTGTAGGGCCTTACCTGGTAAAATAAAAAAAGTTTAGTTGGGTAGTTTTAGGATAAGTGATGCAATTCCTAACAACTGGCTATGTTTCATGACCTGCCGGTAAGTCGGATGTTTTTTTGTGGCCTCCAAGTGCACCTAGCCTAGCACAACCGCTGCGGTGACATCACCGTCACTTAGTAAAGAATGGTGGCTGTTGTTGTAGGGGAAGCTGGTGGCTGCATTGGATACATCGCCTCTAGGGGCCGGGTTCCTGCTGCTGTTTATTGATCTGGCTTGGACTCCCCTCGTGTGCTCCCTTCCGGCTGCCTACCTGGTCCAGCAGCCCCTTCAGCTGCCCCTATACCACTCTGCCTCACTCGCGCTACTCTATGGTACCTGCTCAGTGCTGCACTCGCCCTCATCTTTGACAAATAATACTCACCCGCACACATAGCTATATGGTATGCCCACTCACCGACTGCTTGGTACTAATACTTAACCGCTTACCCACTTTTATTCCTGCAGTGTTGAACACCGACAGGAGCCACAGGGGGGGCTGGGGGGGCTTAGCCCACCTGAAATCTTGGGAAAGTCGGTAATCGGGATAACCGGATATCCAGCTGCTGCAAAATGCTGGCTGCCACCTTGTGCTGCCCTGCAGGCTGCTTGAGCGGCAGCCTTTCGAACTTATCGAACTTATTAGCCACATCAGCGGCTTCGACCTATTAATAAACTCCAATAAAATTTGTTTTATACATTTGTGGCGCCCATTGGAAAACACACTGGATATCTCAGAATATTGAAGTCAGCCCCCCCAAAGTAAAAATCCTGGCTCCGCCCCTGAACACTGACTTCACTGGCTGTCAGTACCCGGCATTTTAAGTGTGCCATGTATACTGTTTCTTGCAGGACTGGGTCTGTACATTTACTGCAGAGCTAGCGCCGAGAGACGCGCCTTCCAGCACAAACCCAGCTTGGCTCACTCATCCCGTAAGCCTCGCAGTGCACTCGTACCGTTTTCCTTTTTTTACGCTTTCCAACAAAGGTTGAAAGCGTTAATGTGTTAGCTGTCTGTCACGGGGGGCCCCACAATAGCTCTCACAAAAGATGATCCAATATGCATTCGTTTTTAGTATAAAGTTGTGTTAATAATAGGGACCTACTCTTTATAAAACTGGCCAAATATCCCCTCCACCATGCAGAACTTCGATCACTAGCTCATGACTGTTTACAGGAGATGGGCACCGCCTCAACGCTCATTTGAGCAGTGTAATTTTAAAATAAAAGCATTGCCCAAAATTTCTGAAGACAAACGCCAGTGCTTAAAGTATATTCCCCTTGCTGGCCAAGGTGATGACATCATCTTGTGTGGCTTCATCTAGCGACATCAAGCCTGTTGTGTGGCTTGGAACATATTGTTAATTAAATACTTGAGGATGTAATACTTCTGCGAATTATTGACGATGCTGAAAAACCCAAGTTAAAAGTCCCGAGTTTTGTGGCTGGATTGTGTTCTTGAGCCACCCATTGGCGCCAAACTCTCCACTGCGTAGGCAAGGAGAGCATTCCCACGGCGACTGGCAAGCGTCTGCTGGTGTCTGGCTGGTGGGGCGTCTTGCGCCACCCTGACACACTGGGACAGCTGCTAATGACGATGGCGTGGACCCTGCCCTGTGGTAAACATCTGCACCCCTACATCTGGATTATCTGATGATATTGGTAGGAACGAAGTTGTAAACTGAGTGTACCAGCCTGCAATAGATTAATGTGTCCGTCCGTCCGTCCCCTTTCAATACTTTAACGAAGTGAAATCTCGTGCTGTTGGGGTGTAAAAATAAAATTGCGCAAAATTCCAATGTTCCTACCAGCCCACCCTGCAGGGACCTGTTTATGTAATAATTGACTCTGATTGTTGGTTCAATTATTCAATCAATCGGATATGGTGTTTAAGAGCTTGTGTAATATCCTGTGTAATATCCCATGTGTTGCATATACGGTGTGTGCTGTTCGTGTATGTGATCTGTGTTTAAAGTATACCATGTCCTGTGTGCAGTCGTGTCCTATCTGTGTCATGTTTATCATATAATTTGTGTGCTCTTCAAGTCCATGTGTAATGTATCCTGGATGCGCTGTGTGGCCCCGTGTGCGCTGCGCTCTGCAGGCGTGCAGGCCGCCCTGCCGTGGGTGCAGGCCGTGTACGTGTGCGGCGCACTGCTCGTGCGGGGCGTGCACACCGAGCAGGCGTGCGTGCGGCGCTATGGCGCCGCGTGGGCCGAGTACTGCCACCGCGTGCCATACCGCCTGCTCCCCGGCCTCTACTAGCCCCCCCGCTGCTCGCCTGCACCAGGTGACCGTCCACTCAACGCCAACTTATGCGCAGCCTCCGTCGTTTAACCGTGACCAGGCACTGTTTGCCCGGGTGCAGGGAGATTGCATTTGTGAAGGTCACGCCCCTAAAGTTGTGGCTGTGCCTACTCTGGGTCTGTCCGGCTCACGTGGCATTTCGCTTGTTTTATATATTTTTACATGTGAATCCTGGGCATTGGGATGAAGCCCAACGCACAGCGGTGCTGTCATTTGTTTACGGCTAGGGTGAGGAACCTACACATTTGGCCCCGACTTAATTTGATACGGGCTATGACTGTTTGAGGACTAATTGGTTATTGTGCTGTACTAATTGGGTACTAAAGGGCAATGCGTTTCTAATTTGAAAGTGCTGTCACTGCAGTCGAAAAAACAAGGTATTGTAGCTTGGTAAAAACATTGTGTGACATTTGTATTTGACTGGAATTTAAAAGGAGATTTTACTTTTTCACGAGACATAGATAAGTTTTTAACGTATTAAATAATGACAAGTAAGGATTTATAAAAAAAACTGGCCAAAATGTTTCAATACCACCAATCTAGGAATGGTTTTGAAAAACGTGCACAAGAATTCTTGTTTTTTTAATAAGAAACAATATGTATAGACACTGTACGCAGTATGCATTTATAAAATGTCCTGCCAAAATTGGGGGAAACCCCAACATGCTAACTTATGTTAGTATTTATACGAGGGTGTTGATCCTAAATATGCTATAAAATACAACAAATATGACAGGGTTGGATAATTAAATTTACTAGTCTGTGAAAAATCGGTCCAACTTTTTCTGCTCGTTGTTGTAAACTGATTTTATGCAAGCATTTAATAAGAAAATGTGAAATATTTAAATATGAACTCAAGTTAAAAAAATGTATCCTGAGAAAAATTGCTTTTACCGTATCGTTTTTCGTCAAAAGTTGGTCCACAATTTTCCTCTTTAAATACTTCACAAACGTAGTTATTCCGCTCATGGCTATTGAGGAGTTAACTGTAGAGCGATTAACAAGTGCGTGTGAGCAGGGGAGAGGGTCACTCATCATCCACAACATGGCCCCTCCTCACCGTGTGAAGTCTTCTTTATTTCTCAGATAACGAGCAAAACAGCTCAGCCTCTCACGTGGAACTCGGGAGAGCGTGCGACATGAACCACAGTCACCATCGTCTTAACCACCACTAACAATCATCACCAACATCACCACCAAACATTGTCACAGTCGCCATCAAAATAGGGGGGGTCATCATCATAGTTACAAGCATCATCACGTGGCCGGCGCGTGCTTGCCTTTAAACCCTCATCTCACGTGGCTCCACCTCCCCTCAACCCAAGTGCACAACAACAGGTGACTGGGAATAACAAGGAGCGACTGAGAGGTGAGCAGTGACTGGGGATTATGGCGAGAGTGGGCGAGGATTCAATGGTGTGAGGAGTGCAGGGCGACTGGGAGAGAAAGGGGAGTGAAGAGTGACTAAGGGGCAGCAATGTAAGGTATGATTGGGGGTGAGGGGTGACTTGACGTGAGGGGGGACGGGGGGGGTGATGTTCCCACCCTGAAGCAGGGGAAGGGTTGGTCATCCCCGCCTCACCCCCCTCCTTCGCATTCCATCAGTGTCAAGCAAACATGAGCTGTAGCCACCAGGCTCCATGCCCTTGCGCCATCACGACCTCTTCTCGAATCGTGCATCAACATCATCCCAGCTTCCCCCTACGATTCACGATAAAAACTATAAACATAAATTAATAAAAACCCATTAACACATTCCAGGTAAAAATGCCTAAGCTTCTCGCCCCAAAACTCTCAACCCAACCTCTCCTGGGTGTGGGGGGCCAGGTGAGGCAGGGTGGGGGGGCGGACACAGGAATGTATCAGAACAACCGAGGAGTGAAATGTACTACAACGCTACCGTTACCAGGACTAGGGCGCCACCAACAAAACTCACTACGTTCTAAAACGGCTCCTCGCGACAACGCCAAGTTGCGCCTTAATACTAAATACTGTACATCCTCCGCCCCACAATTAAACACCACTGGTATTTTCGTTTTTAATTTTTTTCTTTGCAAAGCCGCTATTATTTTCTTGAAAATATTTCCTTGTTTACAAAAACGACATCGAGCAACGTGTGCGCACAACCGGGGCGCATTTGCAACGGCACAAGGCAAAGCTACACATTTACAGGAATCCGACACGAGCAGGACACTTAAGACCAGCGCACGAAAACGTCACCGTTGAGTTTTTACAACAATAATCGACTTGTTCACCAACTCCGTGCGGTGTGGGGCAGGCTCTATAAGCAGGTTCAGGGGGTCAAGGTGGTCAGGAAGGGGGGCTCTGCGAGGGGTTGCTCACCCACCCATGTGCACAACAAAGCCGTGGCCTCCCCAGCACCGACGCCACCATCGAGACGGATGAGGGCTCGCCGTCGCCTCCACGGTACCGTTTACCTCTTCAACGCAGTAGCAACGGTCGGTTTTCGGAATTTCTCCACCAATGGGAGAGCGGGGGCAACCAAGTGGCGCAGGCTTTGCGGAGGGTGGGGGGGCGCCCCAACGCCAGCCTCAGCACACCTTCCACTGCATGACGGACGTGTCGCTGCCGCCCGTGCTCAGCAGGTACGAGTCATCGTGTAGGAACGCCACGTTGGTCACGTGACTGCTGTGCCCGCTGTAGATTCGGCTCGGCACCTGCGCAACACAATTCATTGTGGATATACTGTATACAGGATCTGACCACATCTCGAGATGCTGTACATATGCTGGGCATAGTCATAGGAGCAGAGGAAGGACTTGAGCCTGAACTATTTCCTGGCCCAAGGTTGACTTGCGACTTTAATAGAAAAGTGGGTGGAGGGGAATAGAGTGAGATGAGAGTGACGGGTAGAGGAGTGTGGAGACGGGTAGAGGAGTGTGGAAACGAGTATAGCGAGATGAGGGCAGAGTTAGGAGAGTGCATGGAGGATAGGCAGGCAGGGATGAGTCCGTGGAGGTTCTTCGAACGGGGTGAGATCGGGAGCCAATGAAGAAATCGGAGTATGGGGGTGACAGTCTCGTTGAAAGGTGTGGGCCAAGAATCTGGTCACTGCATTTTGGACGGGACCATGGCACACCTTGGGCTGGGAGCAGGGGTACACAAAGATGTGAACTTTCCCGAAGTCGTCGGCCACAGCAACGACTGCGCGGTTGTGAGCGCGGCACACTGCGTTGATGTCCGTGCCGTCGGAGCCATCCGGCCACACTCCTACATGCACGCAAAGACAAAGACCCACCCGTGTAGCCTACACACAACGTTGGGGCAAGCAATGCTAGTAAGCACATATGATGGCCACACAATGGGGTGGGGTGTGCCATGCACTGTGCAGTGCTGATATTTACACACTGCACCATGTACTCATTTAAGGTTGAGCCGACCTAGAAGATGCCCAGTACCAGTTCAGATATTTAACACTGACGTTAGTCGTGAGTGTTAATCTAACTCGGGTCACCGGGATGATAGCATAGTGCACAAATCACAATAACAACGTTCTACGCATAGATGCGCATGCACAGATACAAATAATTTTAATTTGTAAGGCGCAATGGGCCGTTGAGCACACACACATTCAATTGGTGGTTGCCTCGACAGGACTTAACCCTCGTCCCACTGAGTGAGGGAGGAGCCTTGTCTGTGCACCAGTAAATGTACACACGCATGTGACTATGTACCCATGTGTGTTAGCTGTATGCTTATATTGACACCCTTGCAAACAAGGTATTCCATCTCGACGGAATTTCTTGCTGAAAGTTACATTTACTCAAAAATATCCAAGATCGTGTGTGTGTGCGTACCATAGATGTGGAAGCCCAAAACGCAGGTGTACGTCGCCCATTCGATGTCCCGGATGGTATCCGCCATCAGCTGCTGCCTACAGTTACGGTTCCCTGGACGAGCACATCCACACATGATCAAAAACAAGACAAAGATCCCACGTATAGCCTGTAACAGACTGTAGGGGGCAAGGGCTGTGAGGGGGCACCTATAAAGGCAGGCACGCATCTACAAACAATATATTCACACAAAAACACATCCATGTAGCCTACACAGGCTGTTGGGGCAAATGCGGCCATTCCGAGCACCTATGCATGCCTGCACGGCGCACGTAGGGGCAATGTGGCAAACAATACATCGGCACACGGCGATACCCACCCACACTCCCAGGCATTCACAACATGGCCACTCACAGTATAGGATCTCGTAGTCCCCGGAGTTTGAGACGAGGAACTCTCCGTCCACTGACCAGTCCAGGTGAGTAATGAAGCTGGAATGACCCTGCATGCGCACACGTGCATACGGAAAACATCACGTGCAGCCATCTGAGTGTTGGGGCAAGTGCTGTTTGTTAGCACCTATCAAGGCTTGCAGTGATATGACCAACTGTGTGTGGTATTGCTAATATCGTGTTTGTGGTATTGGTAACACTGGGTGTGGTTAAGTATGCGGTGAGTGCAGGGTGTATAGTGAGTTTGGGGTGTTGGGTGTGTTGCGTGTGCGGCGAACGCGGTGTTGGCAGTACCGTGCACTTGCCGAGCCGCGTGTATCGCCGCCCATCCTCGCTCACTGCATGCAGGAAGATGAAGTTCTCGTGTGAGCCGATCGCGAGCATTGAGCCGTCTGCATGGCAATCGCACACACAAAGATCCCCCATGTAGCTCATCAACTGTTGGGGCAAGTGCCGTTAGCGAGCCCCAATTAAGGCTGGCACAGTGCATGAGGAGGTGATGTGGTCAACCCCACACCCAGCCGTATTTGTTTTTCCAATGCAGATATACACTGCAACAGACAGTCATTTAAGGCCGAGTCGACCTAGGGGAGGGTCCAGAACCAGTTCAGATATTCACCATGGATTTTTTTTACCATGAGCGGGAATCTAACTTGGGTTGCCGGTTTCATAGTACATTGTGCTAACCACTGTGCCACCACTTGCCACAGACACGCACACATTTTTAGTGAGTGCCAAAACGGTGTCTCTCCAAGTCTGGGTCTATCCCACACCCTTCCATGTTCGCTCAATTTTACCCCAAATGAACCCAGGCACAGCCCAGGCCCAAGTGTACACACAGACACGGAGCACTTTCCTTAGAGTAACGCAAAGATATAAGGGGAGAAACGAATAGGGACCTGGGGAGTAACGCATGACGGAGAGAAGCTCGGCTCCGTCCGTGTGCAGGGTCACCAGGTCACTCGTCTCGGCGTCCAGCACCGCCCACCTGCACCATAACCACACACCAGTCTGGAAACCTGAGGTGGCCGGACGACTCACTTGACTTCACTTCTCAGTGGCAAGACTCCACCAGCAGCAAGTTCCAGAAGTTTTGGGACAAAGATTAGTAAGGAAAAACCATGTATACACGTGGATTATGTCCATTCGTCTTCAAAAGTAATATGGCACTGATAATATTTTAGCAGAAGGATGATGATGGGGAGCTAGCTGTAAGCACGACATGCCTTATCATTTGCAAATCGGGTGTCATCACTTCCATGACAACTCTTTACTCACTTTCCCTTCTGCATCCCGACCGCAACCACTGTCCCCGTCGGGTGGAAGTCAGCTGACTGAGCCGCCTCCTGCAAAGACACGCAGCAAAACAAAGTCCTCAGCAATGGGCTCTCACCTGGTTATGCATAAAGCACAGAAATGAACGGGGAGAGTGAAATACATGTTTTGTCTCTTTGGGCTCTCGCCAAGTTCTAATTAAAGCACATGAATGAACACGCACAACCACGACTACTGGGGGTTCTCGTTGGTGTGTTGTTTGTATGTTCTTGTCGCACGTTAGCGTGTGCGCTGCAGCATTATAGCACATGCTGGAGTGTAACGACGTGGGTGAGAGGGCACTCAAGCGAACCGCCAGGCCCCCACCTCAACGGACTTGCTCCAGATGAGGCGGTGCGAGTGCACGTCCCACATGGACACGCGCTTGTCGTAGGAGCACGTGAAGAAGCGGTCGCGGCTCGGGTGGCACTCCAGCCCCCACAGCTCATCGGTGTGGCCCTTGGGGTGGGGTGGGGTTAAGGTGTAGCAAGCAGGGGTGAGCAGGCGGGTGGGCGAGCTGATGGGTGAACGGGTATGGGTGGGCGAGCGGCTGCACCTGTATGATGGGGTTGACCTCCCCGTCGAGGGAGCAGCTCAGGATGAAGTTCTTGGTCGTCCCCACCAAGATGGCTTCCTCTTTCCCCTCAGCAACCGTGCGCACCGGCCCATATGCCTCGGGGACCTGTACGTGTACACACACAACACGTGTACAAAGACAATGATGCCTTTCGGAGGCTTCACAGACTGTTGGGGCAAGTGCTGTTAAAAGCATTTATTAAAGCCGGCACGGCACATGAGAAGATGGGTGGCCAGCACCACGCCCAGCCGATGCCGTTTTAAGGCCGAGGCAACCTACGGTAGGCCAAGGACCGTTTCAGATATTCATCACCGGTATTGGGCGTGAGTGGGAATCGATCTCGGGTCGCTAGGGTTAGTACCATAGTGCACTAACCACTGGGCCGCTGCTCCCCGCATGTCAAATCATACACTCGAATACAACCCATGCCCCCCCCCGCCCCACACCTCCATCTCGCGGCGCTTGCGGTAGGCGCTGTCCCAGGCGACGATGCGCCGGTCCTTCCCTCCGCCGGACACGAGCGTCCCGTCACGCAGGAGGCACAGGGACAGGATCCCGCTCTCGTGCGCGCCCGAGATCACGTGGCTGATCTTGTTGGTGCCTGAGACGCACGTGACCCACAGGCAACATGACGCACGTGACCCACAGGCAACATGACGCACGTGACCCACAGGCAACATGACACACGTGACATGCGCCGCACGCCACGCGAGGTGCGCGGTTGCGCCGCCGCCGCCAGCGCGCTCGAAGCCATCGTACCTTTGCCCCACACGAGAATGTTTCCACTGGAGTCGCCGGTGACGGCGTCGCCACTCTCGTTGAACGTTAGGCACAGCAGCGCCTTGGGCTTCTCGTGTTTCTGCGGGGCCGGGGCAGTGGCAGGCACAACCGCACGACGTCACACGTCGCACAACATCGCGCTCGCACGCGTGCACAGAAACGCAGCCTCACGAACACTCAGAAACTCTCGCACACTTGCATGTTGATTGTACGTGCAAACACACTCGGGCACGCAGGCGTGGCGGCGTCACCTCGAAGAGGCCGAGTTTCTTGGTGAGCATGCCGCTCTCCATGCTCCAGAAGTACATGTGCCCCTTGCCGCACGTGATGATCGAGTTGCTCTCCGTTGGGTGGAACTCGGCCGCAAACACGGGGTCCCCGGCACACTAGAGCACCGCGCGCCATCACCAACACATCACCGCAACGTCACGATCACCGCGACATTGCCATCGTCACATCACTAATTGTCTCATCATAAGCAGCAGCACAACACGAGCATTGAAATAAATAATCTTGGAATTACTTTGAGACAGGAGAGGAACACGTGGATAAGAAAACAAATGCAGGTTACAAAGTGTCCCAGCTCTTAAGAAAAGTAAGAGGGCTTGGGGCAGGACACGTCACAACTAGAAGGGACAATGGCCAGCGGTTGAGACTCGAGAGGAAGAAGCACGGAGCGATATGGGTTGTTGCATCACATGATCGTGCGAGATAAAGATGGCTTGGTGGGGGGGGGGCTTATGACGATGAAAGCCGCAGAATGATCGTCAGCTGATGATGAGAGTGATGGTGATGATGTGGAGGTGACAGGGACCTTGATTTCCATGAACTTGTCCTCCTTCTGCCAGTTCCAGATGGACATCACGTGCTCGTTCGCATCGTCCACCACCATGAGGTGTAGGCCTCCGTTCTGCACGCGTGCAGGGGTCAAAGAATCAGAATATTTACACTGGAGGAATCCGATGAGCTATAAAGCTCCTTTTCACAGATGTCCAGTAGGGGAGAGTCAGAACGTCACAACAACAAATACAAAAACAATAGAAGTGCAAAGTATAGGAAAGGTAAACAAATCGCTTTTGAAAAATATGCAACTAAAACTAAAATATATTTTACCAGGTAAAGACCACGGAGGTATTAACTTTCATAAGCGAACTGCCCACAAGTGATAGCTCAACAAATGGTCATCATGTGGAATTTTATCGCCACAAAATCTTAAATGCAGGGGTCTAAGGTCATATGGGGGCGCGGGGGGGGTGGTGCCGTGGACGCAAGTGAGCAGACGGCATCCACAGTGGTTGTCCTATGGACAGTCTTGCGGAATTCCCATCACTGTCTCAGGGCTGTAAACGGGAGAGGAGCACTGACCTCACTGCTCAATTGAGCACGAAATCACTTTTGACTCCTGACTAATCAACATTACTCAACATTGCTCATTCCTACATCACGCGGTCTCCACGCGGTCTCCACGCATGGCCGCACACATCCACCGAGATGACAAATGACAGCGTCAGTGCTGAGACCCGAGGATAACAGGCTGAGAAACCATGAACTGGGGTCACCACGCATGGCGTAAGATCCACAATTGCTCACTCCGACATACGCATGCTCGCTCACTTTGAAGCGCGTGTACGCACACTCGCTCCGACGCGCTTCTACGCAGTCACTCACTCACTCCGACGCGCGTGTACGCACACTTACTCCGGGCGCACGTATACACAAACTCGCTCGCTCGCTTCAACATGCGTGTACGCGCACCGCCTTGGAGAAGGAGAGGCAGTTGACGGAGCGCACGAAGGAGCCGGTGCCGATGACGTGGAGCGAGTTGAGCGTCACCGAGTCCCAGATCCGCACATTGGGCGCGAACGGCTATGCGGGGCGCACACACACACAGAACGAGCACACTCGGAATGTGCACAAACACGCCTTAACAGACTGCTGGGCCAAGTGCCGTTTGGAAGCACCTATAAAAGACCGTCACAGCACACGAAGGGGGTGATGTGGTCAGCACAACCCACAGCCACCTTTGTCTTCCTCGTGCTGATGTTTACACCGCACCCGGTACTCATTTAAGGTTGAGTCGACCGTAGGGAGGACCAGGTTAGATGTCGGTCACTTCTGTTGGCCGCGAGCAGGAATTTACCTTACCGGGTTCGTAGTGAAGTGCGCCAACTAATACACGACAATTCCACACATGGCACATATATCTACATTCACCCATATACACACACACACACACACCCTCACCTTGCCCTCCTTGGTAACACCAGCCATCTGGCCTGTCGCCACGGTGACCTTGTCAGGGTGTATTGCGATACTGCAGGGAAAAAACACACCGGCATGACTATCGCCACGGTAATCACTCCCCCCCCCACACACCATTATTCACGTAACCTTCAACATTGTTATCACCGCATCTCTCATCACCAGCAACATCATGAGCATCATCAGCACTGTCCTGACTACCACCACCAATATCACCGCCAACACCACGATCTCACCACGCCCACAATTACCACCAGCACCGTCGCTGTCGTCAAATTAATGAGCGATGCTGCTGCGTTGGCAGTGGTGCGGCACAAGCAATATTAAAACATGCTCATCATTATCATCAGTGCAACCATCACCACAATATAACCATTATAATCCCCATCATAACTTCTACCACCAACCCATCACTCCCACCACCAGTTACCATAATTTCCTAACCATTATGACAACTGCCACTACCACACTATCATCACAATCCTCAGCACCACCATCATCACTATCATCACCATCATAAACAGGGCTTCATTGCTCATGGAATATTTTGCGGGGTCTCCCCAAACCCGCAACTTCTTGGACCCAGCGTGGGGAAATATATTTTCTGGAGCTCAACCTGGCACAGCTCCAGCTCAAATTAAACCCTGATCCTAGCCTTCATTTATCACACCGTCATTATCACCACCTTCAACAGCACACACCATTTTCTACTAAGTGGCGGTGACATCACCATGGCACCTGTGCCAGGTCAGGTGCACTTTGAGGCCAAGCGAAGTGTCGAAGGCTCGCTGACAGGTCACGCGGCAGACCCAGGTGCCATGGGTTGACCGAGATGACTGGCAGATGCACCAGCTGTGTCCCCGACTATGCCAACCACCACCATCACCAGCATCACCGCGGCGGTGCTCACCACTTGACGTCAGTGTTGTGGCCGAGGTAGTGGCGCTGGGTGCCCTCCTGCACGTTGTAGAGCACCACGACAGACGCCACGAAGTAAACCATCTCCCCCGTGGGCAGCAGGTGGATGTTGCAGCGGCAGTCCTGCCCGCGGTAGCCGTATCTGGGGTCGGGCGTCGCTGTCAAGGGGTCATTCGCTGTCGTCGAGAACCCTGCAACTGCCGCTGGGGGGTGCCCTTCGGATGTTTGCGATGAGATGCGACGCAAGGCGCATTTAAGCAAGCACCACAGCGATGCAAAGATGATTAATATTAGAGGGTGGCACAGTGGTCATAGGTGTGCTTCACAGTAAGAAGGGCCTGGGTTCAATTCCCGAATCGGGCACCTGTGTGGAGTTTGTATGTCATCCCCCTGTTCCCCACGGGTTTCCTACGGGTTCTCCCATAGCTACATTAAAGCACACAACGTAACTGATGTTGGCCAATCATCCCGATGCTCAAAAATTACCTGCCAATTACTCAATTGGGACTACACAAAGCAACATCTCCCCCTCCCGCGAAAACTTGGCAGGACCCGGCTGACAAAAGGGTCTTGAGACTCTTGACTTTCCTGGTTAAACAAATGTAATAGCATAAAATAATCATGCGCGTAGTTCTGGGGAACTTAAATAACAGAGTAGATTTCAAGAATGTCTCCTTCACATATCTGTTTCCTAATGCAAAAAATAAAGACGCATTTCTCACACAACCCATCGGCACCATGCCATGGCAGCGAGCCTGACCCTGCTGATGGGACAATGCGTGTCAAAACCGGCTTAGAATTTGCTTTACTAAATGCTGCTGATCTTACACACTCCCAGGCTACGTGGCCAACGGGTTATGGGAGACACTTTGTTTTACTTATATGTCGCTATAAATACGTGAAGGCGACGTGCCGTTCACCCCTCTATTGTACTAACAACACGAGGTGAGAGGATACACCCACTCGAGCTTGAGCTTGTCTGGAGGCAGCGCCACCTTCTGGCTCAGGCTGTAATCGTCCTTGAGGTGCGAGGGCAGGTACATGGTGACGGGGCGGCCACGCACAAACATCTTCACGTAGCCCTCCTCTGCGGCCAGCGGGCGGGTGGCGCGGGTGACCCCACCGCACGGGCAAGCGGGTGGGAGTGAGCGAGGGTGAATGGGAAGATGGGGGTGACATTGAGTGTGGGTGAGGGGGTGGATGAGTGGTTGGATGAACGAGGTAGCGTATGGGTGGATGAGTGGAAAAGGGAGTGGGTGGGTGGGTGGGTAGGTGAGCGGGTCAGTGGGTGAATGGTTGAGGGAGGGAGGGAGTGGTTGAGGGAGTAGATGGTTGAGCGAGTGGATAAGTGGGTTGATGAGTGGTTTGATAAAACGAATGGGCGGGTGGGGATGGGAGAGTGAGCACAGGTGTGTGTTGTGAGGTGTGGAAAAAGCAGATAATCAAAACCACGCTGGAGGCAGTGGCCAGATGCTCCGTGGGTTCACGATGGCCGTGTCAGAGCACGAAGCCGGCACCGCTGTGATCTTTGGTTAGAATCCAGCATTCAGCCGCTCATGATTAAAATGGGTTCTCAAACAAAAAAAGAAAATAATTTTAGCAGGGTGACCAATGACTACACAAAAACCCACTGTATCAAATTAGTTTTTTCACTTAATTTGGCTAAATTCCATCACTGACAATCAAAAACATCGGTTTAAATGTCATGCAATGAACTTTACTCTCAGCAGCATTGTTGGTGGCAAAGTGCTGCCCTCTACTATGTGGACCAGAGGGCGGGCCGTGCCCCAAAACGGAGGGTCACACTTCTCTGCGAGAGATCCGAATTGGAATCTTCGTTCCATGACAGCGCACCGACAGCACCGTCGGGATAATTATTTGTGTAACCACAACGGAAAGTGCCGGCCCTTTCCCTGGGCCAGGCCATGGGTCCGTTAAGAAGCCTCCCTCCCGTTCCCAGTGTCCACGGGGGAGAGTGAGACGAGACGCAGAGCGTCACGAGCGTAAGGCATCAGCGAGTGAGTCTCAGGCGCAGGCACCGACCCCCCCCCCCCCCCCGCCGCCCCCATCCACCATAGGCAATGCCACACGATCATCGTCGCCGACAATGATCGATGGCGAAATCAGCCGCGCCGGCCGGGGAGCGAGGTGTCCGCGCCGCCACCATCGCAAGCGTGGGCGGGGGGGAAAGCATTTCTCACACGCCCGCCCTCGCGTGGCAAAAGACATCGAAACGCACCACGAGCGAAGTTTGTTTTGTTAAAAGACGGGGGAAAAAACGAGCGGCCCTTATCTTGTGGCTACAAAGCGAAACAACGTCGAGTGACATCGCGTTCAAATGCGACCGCATCGCGGAGACGCGGCGCAGGAACAGGGGCCATATTTATTGTACCGAGAGCGATTGAGGCTGTTGGTTATCGGCCAAGGGAAAAAAATGAAGGGCTTGAGCCTGAACAGGGATTCGAGGTGTGTAGCTACAAGATAAGAGCCGTTTGGGTTAAGATTTGCTTCTTGATCGAACTGAAGCGTTTAGCAGCTGGGACACCGGCATGCAGCAGCAGCAGCGGCAGCGACACAGCCACGAGGAACAAGCACAGCCACAACCACCAACAGCCAGAGCGGAGTGTAACACAGCCGCGCCAGCGACACGCTGGGGAGTTATGTCGCACGGCCACCAACACACAGGAAGCGACGTTGCACCGCCACCAACACACAGGAAGTGAAGTCGCACCGCCACCAACACAGCAAGTGATGTCGCACCGCCGGCAACACGGTGCTGTCACGCCACCACTAACACAGGAAGTGACCACAGCCCACCACCAACACACACGATATGATATCATGCAGCGGCACACAGGAGCAGAGTGACCGGGGTAGTGAGCGAGGAGGATAGGAGGTGGAGAACGGTGGGGAGGCTGCAGAGCAAGCTGGCACCGTGCGGGGTGAGGCTCACCTGGTGAGTACGTGACGCGACGCTTGTCTGTCGCACAGACACCCACACCGACACAACCATTTAAACAACTAGCAGCCATCACAGCACCAATCCAATCAATTACCAGCAAAACGACAATCACAGCATAACGATGAACGCTCGTGCGCACGGTCGAGGCAGATGGAGTTCTCTGGCACCCAGCCTCACCCCCGGAAGTGCGATCACGAGCGTTGCCACGTTGTGATGATACCACGATTCGTCGTACGATATATAAGATCCACAACGATCGTTATCGTCCGTTTTGCTAAATATCAAATCCCGATCATTTGTATTATTTTATTCCCTGGCAAAATTACGTCTGAAATAACAAACTCTAAAATTAAAGCTGCAAACGAACGGCTGTTATACGTTAAATTGAGTGCTCTGCAGAATGTTCTGCGGAGCAAATGATGGCATGATTATATGACCTCATCATTGGCATTATATTTCATTTAAATATTTGGAAATGCAACAGTTTTTGCATAATGGCCAGCATGTGCAATTCACGCATTACAGGTTGCTAACATTGCATAACTAAGTGCAGGCGAAGGCAGAGTGACCTGCAGTTGAAGAAGCTTGAAGTAAATATTTGTTCCCATGAGCAGTTACAACAAATGTTAGAACCACAAACGATAATCACCATCATGGACCGTCATTTCGCATCGTGAATAATTACACAGTGGCAACGCTCGCGATCGCACGTGCGTGTGTGCACGTGCGTCTGTGTGCATGCATGCGAGTGTGTGTATCTTTGTGGAGAGCTCACCTGAGCAATACTCCGGCTTGGGTTTGCTACTCGGAGGGAAGAGGGAGTGAGGGCAGAGGCAGAAGGGATGGGTGACGGAAGGTTAGTGAAAGTTCGAGGGCTCAACACCGCTCCAGCACAGGACTTGTGCGAGTGGTGCGAGTCGTGTGCGTGGTCCGTGTGGTCCGAGTGGCGTGAGCGTGATGCGAGTGCACGTGGCGTGTGCGGTGCGAGTGGCGCTTGAACTTGTGGTGAGCGTGTGGAGTGCGGTGAACGTGTGGTGAGCGTGTGGAGTGCGGTCAACGTGGGGTGAGCGTGTGGAGTGCGGTGAACGTGTGGTGAGCGTGTGGAGTGCGGTGAACGTGTGGTGAGCGTGTGGAGTGCGGTGAACGTGTGGTGAGCGTGTGGAGTGCGGTGAACGTGTGGTGAGCGTGTGGAGCGCGGTGAACGTGTGGTGAGCGTGTGGAGTGCGGTCAACGTGGGGTGAGCGTGTGGAGTGCGGTGAACGTGGGGTGAGCGTGTGGAGTGCGGTGAACGTGTGGTGAGCGTGTGAAGTGCGGTGAACGTGGGGTGAGCGTGTGGAGTGCGGTGAACGTGTGGTGAGCGTGTGGAGTGCAGTCAACGTGGGGTGAGCGTGTGGAGTGCGGTGAACGTGTGGTGAGCGTGTGGAGTGTGGTGAGCGTGTGGAGTGCGGTGAACGTGGGGTGAGCGTTTGGCGAGCGTGCCGAGGGGGAACCCACTCGAGCTGCTTGCGCTTGCTTGCACTGTTCTCCGTGACGGACCGCGAGCGGTTGAGCCGCGCCTCCCTGCGCAGGGTACAGTTCTCCGTGCTGCGCACGACACAGGAGCAAGCCACGGTGATTCCCAGCCAGCAGTGGAGAGATCACGGCTGATGATGATGATACATAAATAAGACACTTTCTTTCAACATTAATTTTCACAATCAACACATATATGGTCATAAAGCGAGGACCATACGTTTACACATCTGCACTAGATGTGCAACAGCGTACACGAACATTCATTATGACCCAGCGAGACACAAAGCTGATCATCACGTTACGAGGACATTGGTGCTCATCTCCCATTTACAGCCCTGAGCCAGTAGTGGACAATTCCACATTCCTATGGCGGGGGTGCGTCTAGCAGTCATAGCAGAGCCACCGTTGACCCCGGGGAGGAAGGTTGATGGGCTGAGTCAACCATCCACCAACCAGGGTTTGAACTCGCGACCTTCCGCTAGCGAGCCGCTCGATCTACTGCTGACGCAGCAGCAGCGACAGCAGCAGCACTGCAGACTGCTCCTACAATTACACATTGGTGGTTCATGACGCTGCACTCCGAGGTGTGGGTTGATCGCAATGGTGTGGTCGCCATGTTGTGGTGTAGTTGGCATGGTGTGGTGTAATGCGAGTGGTGTGGTTACCATGGTGTGGTTAAAGTGTGTGGCGTAGTTGGCACGATGTGGTGTATTTGAAATGGTGTGGTTGCCATGGTGTGGTTTCACTGGGGCGATTGCCATGGTGTGGTTGGTGTGGTTTGGTTGAATTGGTGCGGTGGACGTATTGTGGTTGAAACTCACGGTCTGGGTGAGGGGGTGCTGAGTGGGGCGTATCCCGAATTCGGTTTGCGGGGGGTTAGGGGGGGCCCGTCGCTTAGCAGGCTCGAGCGCGACGGGTGGGAGGACAGAGACGGGCGACCTGGGCACACACGGACAAGTGCAAAGACTAAGATCCCCCATACAGCCTTGAACAGACTGTCAGGTCAAATGCTGCTAGCGAGCACCTACGAAGGCCAGCACGGCGCACGAGGGGGTCGGTGGCCAGCATCACGCCCCGACCGCCGAGTCGAGCTATGGGAGGCCCATGGCCAGTTCAGACAATCGTCACTGGTGTTGACCATGAGCAGGAATCGAACTCGGGCCGTAGGGTTCGTAGCGCAGCGCGCGCTTACCGCTACACTACCGCTCCCCACGGAGCCGGTGAGACAAAGAGACACGCGGGGATATGCAAAGAAACATGCAGACGTTGAGACAGAAAGGAGACAAGTGGAGACACACGGGGACACCACACACGCAGACAAACGGAGATAGTGAGACATACCGAGACGCACAAAGACACGAGTGGACGGAAACGTGCACGGACTGTACACACGCACGGACGCAAGGACGGCGTATGGAGACGGCAGCAAGGAGACAGGTTGATAGTAACCTAGTAAAAGGATGGGTCCAAGGGGGTTCCCAATGGCCATGTCAGAGACGGATGACGGCACTGCTGAGATCCAGGGTTTGAATCCAGCTTTCAGCTGCTTACGATGAAAGCAGGTTCTTGAGACCAAGGAGTCGATGGTGGGAGGCCGATGTCGCTGCACAGATTAATTTCGTTTTTTATTTAATTTGGCTCGTTCCCAGCTCTTAAGGACCACACATTGACTTTACTGACGCACGACAAACAGGGAATGTGAAAGGCAAAGCTGCTTGCGCGAGTTAAAGAGGGCCATTGAGAGAAATTGTGTGAAAGGTTGTGTAGTCTCACCGCCGCCCGTGTGTGAGAGGGAGTGAGCGTGAGCGAGTGCGAGTGGGCGAGTACGAGCGAGCGAGCGGGTGGGCAGCATCTCTCACCACGACACGCGGCTGAGTGAGAGGGAGCCCGAGTGAGCGACTTTGAAAGAGGCTCGAGCGAGTGAGCGAGCGTGCGAGCGTGCGAGCGTGCGGCGTCTCTCACTGCCGCGCGTGGGTGTGGTGGTGCCGGGCTGCTGTTGCTGCTGCTGCTCCTCGGCGGCCGACAGCCTCCGGATGACGTCGGCGAGCGCCGCCTTGAGCACCGTGATCTCGTCGTCCTGGGCGCGCGCCCGCCGCTCCAGCGCCGCCAGCCGGTGCAGGGCATCGGCGCCGCCCGCCCCGCCGTGCTGCTGCTGCTGATGGTGGTGGTGGTGCAGCGGGTGGTAGTCGCTCACCGAGCCCAGGCTCAATGAGGCCGTGGTCTCAGCGAGCGAGACGGAGCGTTGGGCCCCGCCACCGGCGTTGCCGGTGGGGCCGGCCCCGTCGCCGTCGGTGCTGTTCGCCATGCCGTCGGTGCTGAGGAAGCGATTGCCGAGGGCGACGAGGTCCGGGTCTCCGTCGCCAGGGGCGTCGGCGCCGTCGCTCTCCGTCAGCACGCAGCTCCCGTCCTCGCCTGCGCCACGGGGGACGGAGGAGGAGGCACCGTGCGGACGGACACACAGACACAAGACATGGACAGATACACAAACACACATGCATTGAGACCATGACACACATGCATAGACACACATGCATAGACACACATGACACACATGCATAGAGACATATGACACACATAGAAAAGACAAAATACACACACACAAAAACATACGGACCATACACAGATACACACGGGCATAGACACAGGCACACACCCATGGACATGAAGACAGACACGGACATACGCACACGCGAGGATGGACGGGCAGATATGGCCAGACACACACACGTACACACGGGTTATACATGGACACAAACACACACACACGAGTACGCGCACTCGGGCACACGGGACACAGATTAGTCCGCTGGCTCGACAGACAAAGCGACTGCGCACGCACGATTGGCGCGGGCGACGTTACACCACCATCACCACAACCAACACCATCGGCAGCGGTAGCAGCATCTTCACCATCAGCATCCTCATCACCACCATCAGCAGAGGTAGCAGCATCAGCAGCAGGTGCAACGTCCTCATCACCGCCATCATCACAATCAACAGCAGCAGCAACAGCATCTTCAACAGCATCAACAGCAAGTGCAGCATCCTCATTGCCACCACAACCACCAGCAGCAGCTTCAACGGTTGTGACCGTGGCGGTGCAGACGTAGAGACTCGGAGGCAAATGGAGGCGGACGCGGAGAGAGCTTGTGCAGCGCGCGCACGCACGCACAGACACAGCCTCCATCTCCCCACTCACCCCCAGCGACAATGGCTTGACCCTTCCCTTTGTTCCACGAAAATCCCAAAAAACCCCCAACGGGCGGCCGGGAGCGGTCGCCACCGCTAATTGCGGAGAGCGAGCGGCGTCGGCGTCGGCGTCGGCACCGCTGCGGGCAGCGCGCGCTGCGGTGAGCGAGGCGGCCTCCTGCCTTCGTCACGACGACAGGAGCGAGGAGGACGAGGAGGGTGGCAGGGACCTGAATCGTGCAGCGCCGCTCAAAGCTGTCTTTGTGCGTGGGGGGAGTGGTCGGAGGAGGAGGGAGAGCGTGTGGGGGCGAGTGGGGTGGGTAGCGGGGTAGGAAGGCAGCCATCCATGCCATCCCCGATTCATTTTATTTCATTTTAATTGTGTGTGTGAATCAATGGGACTGTGTCACCAATTGCATCCGAGAGTGGTAGTGAGCGGGTTACGAAATGTGGGCGCGTAACGTGGGCGTTGTGTGTCGGCGAGCACCTATGAATGCCGGTACGGCGCACGAGGGGGTGGTGTGGCCACCACCACCACGTCCGGCCACCTTTGTCTTCTCAGTGTTCGTCTTTTACACACCAACGCAGGCAGTCGACCTCATGACCGAGTCGACCGAAGGGAGGTTTTGAGATCACTCGCCACTTACGCTAGCCGTGGCCGGGAATCAAACCCTGGTCGATGGGTTTGCAGCGCAGCACAGGAACCACATCAGGAGGGTCCCTGACCCAGTGCTCACAATCATCAAGAGCTGTCATTATGGCGTGCAGGTCTGGATAAAGCCGTGCGGCCGGAAGTCAGATCCATTTCCTGTTCACCTTGGAGTAGACAGGGATGTCCTCTGGCCTCTACACTATTTAACATCTTTTTTAACCACACAGTTCGCAGAAGCTTCAATGACTCTACCAGTGGAATATACATCCATCTGGGAGAGGTACAATCGGAGGCTGATGGATTTCCAGGTGAGGTCTAGGGTCGGCACCTTACTCGTCAACCATGCCACGTATGCCGATGATCTGGTCATTACGGCTCACTCTGAAAAAAATGGAAAGAATTGGAGACTGTACTGCTGAACCTGGAGCATGCCACTGAAGAGGTGGGGCCTTACCATTAGCCCAACGAAATCAAAGCCCCTGCGTGGGTATTGTACGTCACAAATCACTCTACCCCTTCAACTACCCATGAGTAATGGGGCAGTTGTAAAGAGGGTGGAGGAGTTCCCATACCTGGGCAGTGTGCTCATTAACAGCTTCAGTTTGGCAGCAGAGATCTCGCTTGGAAGCAGTCAAGCGGCATCATCTTTTCATCAGTTGCCCAACACTATGTGGAAGCTGCCTGATCTATTATTACTCCATACAAAGCCCCAGGTCTTGTTGGCCACAGTTAAGACCTCTCTTATCTACGCTTATGAAACGTGAACGCATTTACAGCAACACCTGTGCCAGTTTTAAACATTCAGGCTCACCTGCCTAAGATCCATCCTTGATTTAATGCACACTGGACTGTGTGAGGAGCTCAAAGATTCTTAATAGATTTGGACGCAGTCCCATTAATGAGCTCCTTCGGCAAGCGAGGCTGTGTTGGCTGGGTAATGTCCAGACACCGCATGCCCAAGCAGCTTCGCTTTGGCCAGTCAAAGGGAGCTAACCTGCGCACGGGCTAGGGAGGAGGAAGGCTGATGCGGTAACGGAGGATGTGGAGCCGATTGGACTTGCCGATGAATAGTACCAACAGTGTCAACATCGGCCGATGCGGAGTAGGCTCGTGAAGGACGCTACTTGGCAGTTGGAGGCAGTCGCCCTCCGACAACAACAGCGGGTGGAGGAGCGAAGCTCACAACAACGAACTGAGCACCGAGTGGTTAAGACTCAGCAAGACGGCACAGTGGGGAGCGCAGGTGGTGCATCTACCAGCCATCTCAATCAACCCATAACACCCGTGTCTATCCCGAGACCTCCTGCAAGCGAGCCTTCCACACTGCATACGACCTCTGAGTGCACCCTGCCTGGCACAAGTGCAGACGTCACCGCCATTGCTGGCGAATGGCAGGCTGCTGCCCTTGTTGTCTTAGCGAGTGTACGGCCGTGTATGTCTGTCGATGTGCGTGCGACGTTGTGAATGAGTGTTTGTGAGCGTCAGCGTGCGTGTGCCCGTGTGCGTGCGTTGGCAGTGCCTGCAAGTGGGTAGGGTGGAGGTGGTGGGCTCCATCGGCCAGAGTCGGGCCAATTGCGGATGTTGATTTCTGAGGTTTTTCGTGGGAGGAGGGGAGGGGTGTGAGCGGAGAGGCCTGTGCGGGTGGGTGGGGCGAGTACAGACGTCTGTGCCTGCAGCAGGCTGCCTGTGAACATGCTTTAATTAAAACAAATTCCTCGTACTCCATTTTTTGGCAAACACGGTGCCTACCGCCGGACCCTGCGGTCACGCGCGTGTAATCGCAGCTCGCCCATTTACATCTCGAGGCATTGCCCACGAGGCATTGCACTGGGGGAGGGAACAAGCTCAGCTGGTCAGCATTTTTTGAAGAAAATATTCTTGTTCCTTTTTTTTTCCAAAATGCGGCTTCCCGAAGCGGGCAAGCGAAGCAGAATAAATTCACAGAGAGGCGCGGGGATGTGCAGCGGCAACCCCACCGCCGCACGTCAAGACGAACGCGCGAGGCACGCGTGCGTGCTCACATGCGTGCAGTGCACACGTGTGCTCCCGTACGTGTGCACTGCACGCGTGAGCGCGTGTGCAATCCGCACACACGCGCATACACGCCTACATGCAATCCCGTTTGGCGATTTGTATTTACACAAGTGCCCGCAAATGCGATATACACATGAACACGCGCACGCACACTCGTTGCACGTGCAGTGTTAAAGTCACATGCAATGCACGTTCACGCTTATGCTGACGTACGATGCACGCGTGCGCACACACAAACGTGCGCAGGCATGAACATTTGCGCACACAGACACCCGTGCAGATGCAGTGGATGTTCTTGGATCCACGCTCGCACACGCACATAACAACAACAACCGCCATTCGTCACTAAGTGGCGGTGACGTCACCACGACGCTTGTGCCAGGCCATGTGAACCTTGAGGCCACGTGAAGTGTCGAACGCCCGCTGACAGGAGGTCACGGGGCAGACCCAAGTGCCACGGGTCGACTGACTGAGATGACTGAGATGACTGGCTGATGACCCACCTGTGCCCCCTACTGTGCCAACCTGCTGTGCTTTAGCCACCCGGCGCTCCGCTCGTTGTTGTGAGCGTCGCTCCTCTGCCCTCCGTTGTTGTTGGAGGGCGACTGCCTCAACTGCCCAGTAGCGTCCTTCACGAGCCTCCTCCACAGAGGCCGATCTTAACACTGCTGGTACCAGTCATCGGCAAGTCCACTCAGCTCCACGTCCTCCTGTACCACATCACTCCATCTCTTCTCTAGCCCGTGCCGCGCCCGTTTAGCCCCCTCGATCCGGCCGAACAAAAGCTGTTTCGGTAAGCGGTGGCTGGGCATGCGGGCTACATGACTCAGCCAACGCAGCCTTGCCTGCCGGAGGAGCTCACCGATGGGACCTTGCCCAGATCTTTCAAGGATTTGTGAGCTCCTCACACAATCCAGCCTGGTTAAACCCAGGATGGATCGTAGGCAGGCTAGCCTAAATGTTTCTAACCGGCGAAGATGTTCCATTAGGGGGGTCCACGTTTCGCAAGCGTAGAGAAGGGAGGGAATGACCGTGGCCGAGAAGACCTGAAGCTTAGTGCGGAGCAACAGACCAGGTAGCTTCCACACAGCGTTACGCAACCGATGAAAAGATATTGCCGCTCGACTGATTCGGAGTGAGACCTCTGCTGTTAAACTGGAGCTGGTCACACATGCACTCACACACACGCAGGCACGCACATTTGCACACAGCACAGTGACCTAGAAGCTGCAACAGCAGCAGCTATGCCACACATTACGGTCGAGATGAGTGCCCTGCTATTCTCAGTAATTTCACCCTGCGACTGATGGCCTCAAAATGATCGCAGCAGGAGCAGCAGTGGCAGCATCTATCAGCATCAATAGCTGTATCAGCTGTGGAAGCTATAGCAACAGTATGTATGTAGAACTTATTTCGCACCGTACATAGGCAACTGTGTTAATCGGAGGTGCGGGCGAAGGACAACAAACTAAACACAAAAAGCAGTTCTAAAGAAATGAGTTTGCAATCTAGATGATTCAAGTGCATAGCTCCAGTG